TACGTACAAGCTTCCGGCGGGGTCCGGGTGCAGCCGATATTCGAAGACAAAAGTCGATACCGGTAAGACAGTGTGGTTCTGCAGCAGTGGCACGACGAAGGTGTTCAATCTTTAGTACAGTCAGTGCACTTCGAGTGTTCTGTTCATTGCCGAATTATTTGGGTTGTATTTGATTTGGTTCTTTCTTTATGGTATCAGTAATACTAGCATCACCCAAGTTTAAATGCTTTGTGAATAGACCCGTTCTCACGGCTCAGAGGTGGTATACCGGTAACCATGGTAACTATAAATGATACATGTACGACTACGAGTACATGATTTACATGTACCGGTGCATGTAGAGCTGCGAAATAGTGGTAGCGACCTCAACGATAATTGTAAGTAAGGGGCCGTCCGTAAATATCGATGTTTTTTTAGAGACGATATTATTGGTGCTTCTCTCCCTTGACCCCCCCCCTCCCCCCAGAAGACGCACATGTACATCTAGATCATGGAATCAATATTTTTGGATGCTCATTTTTTCCTTTTTTTGTCAATAATATGAACCCAAGATGGCAAGTTTGCAGGCCTGTTCGACAACCTCACGGGTCAGCAGCTTTTCAGCGCTAATGCCAACGGACTCCAGAAAGGTAGTCTCAGCATTCGATGTGGGGGCAGTCAAAGCCAAAGGCATCTCAACGGGAGTAACAACATTCGTTGCAGCAGCAGCAGGAGTTACGGAAGAGGTCGATTCGACCACCACACAGTCGGGTGATTCTGGCCGCTGAATGCCCAGCCATGACTGGCTGCTCTCTTGGGCCGCTTTCCATTTGCCAACCTCAGCAACGAACTCGCGGACACCGGCTTCATTGTCCTTTAGACTACTCCATTTTGCCTGCGCTTGTCGAACAACATCTGCACGGACTGCGTTTGTTCGCACTGCCTCTACGTCTTGAAAAAGGTCTCCTGCAGGCATCGCTCGGCCGATTTCCACAATCAATAGCTCATTCTTTTGCTCTTGAAATTCGCCATGGGCGTACAGCTTCCAATTTTTGATTTTGTTCTTGTGTCGCGAGTTTTAGCTCCGCGAACGGAAGCTGGTTTCACATTTCTTGTATAGCCATTTAGACATCCGCGTGCAGGGATCGGCGAAACTTCAGATATTTACATCGATATTTTTCTGATGCTCGAAAAGACGCACATGGCTCAAACCCCCCCCCCCAGACGCACCAATATCGTCTCTAAAAAACATCGATATTTACGGACGACCCCTAAAGGAATGTGTTTGCTCCCAAGAGCTCCAGGGTGGGAGCAAACAACGATCTACATGTACATGTACATCAGATGAACTTTGCTGTCTTTAGTGTTAGCAGGCTAGAAGTCACAGGTGGAACGGCCAAGCAAGCAAAATACAGGCGGTATATTGACCAGCCAGAGGCAGCCACTACAAGACTACATTCACGCGACCTTGCGGACAAAGATCAGTACGAACTACGAAGTCGACAATCCATTTGGCACCGGAAATACAATGTATGTGATAACTCAACACAACGAAGTATGTAGAAACACCACTGTATGTCGGCTATATAGATATAATAAAGGATGGAGACAATCTACATGTACATGTGCATTGAATGGTCAGTCGTGAGGAAAGCCGCACCAAACCTCCAAACAACGCAACCTTTGCCTAGCCGAGAAGCTGGAGATTGCCTACATGTACATGTACATGTAGGTCGATAAAACCCTTTCGGTTCCATCATATCAGGGCCTCAACTGTCAACACGATATACATGTACTTGTACAGTCATGTACATTGTCATTGTACATGATGTATGCGTCGTCTTGAGAGCAAGTACCAGTAGTGTTGGATCCGCTTGGTGACTGGGATCACTTTGTGTACGAATCTATACGGGTTGGGAACTATTACTTACTTAGTTTGGGTAGCTTTATTTCACAGCGGGACGGCACATGAATCATTATCTGGACTTGGCCCTCACTCACGCTTGATCGATGAGTCTCGATCGGGGACGTCCCGGCACACTCCTGGTGCAAAAAAGCCACACCTAGAAGGGATCAGGGTCTGGCGCCCAGCCACCCCACACCCGCAGCTAGCCCGGTACCAAGACAAGTGTGCGTTTACATGTTTATTTGTTTGTTTTTTTACTTGAAAAGCACGTAACCACCAGGAAAGCTGACAAAGAAAAAACGAGTAAGACAAGACAGATAAAAAAGAGAGCTGAGAGAGAGAGAGAGAGAGAGAGAGAGAGAGAGAGAGAGAGAGAGAGAGAGAGAGAGAGAGAGAGAGAGAGAGAGAGAGAGAGAGAGAGAGAGAGAGAGAGAGAGAGAGAGAGAGAGAGAGAGAGAGAGAGAGAGAGAGAGAGAGAGAGAGAGAGAGAGAGAGAGAGAGAGAGAGAGAGAGAGAGAGAGAGAGAGAGAGAGAGAGAGAGAGAGAGAGAGAGAGAGAGAGAGAGAGAGAGAGAGAGAGAGAGAGAGAGAGAGAGAGAGAGAGAGAGAGAGAGAGAGAGAGAGAGAGAGAGAGAGAGAGAGAGAGAGAGAGAGAGAGAGAGAGAGAGAGAGGGAAAGAGAGAGTTGGGGTGCGGTTTGAGGAGCACATAAACATTTCTGATAATTCAAACCTCAAACTGGATATGTCCGGTTAATTAGAAGTCCCACAGATTCCACTTACATAGAAAATGTGTGGGATTTGTGCTGATAATTCGAAGTTAGCAAAGTGTAATTCGAAGTTCACTGTACACTGTACTGGTCAGTTCAATGCAGGCTGTGCGGCCGTGCCGGTCAGTTCAGTGTCCGTAAAATGTGTGTCTAAGACTATTAAAAGGTCCATAGCGCAACTCTGCGTGACCATGAGAGCATTTTGACATAAATATTGAGTTGTGGGTTCATGTTTGGATAAATGGAGGTTTGCACATTGCAAACCGTAGTTAACATTCACGAAACCAACAAGCCAAAGGCGCCATGGCAACCAGTAAACGAACCCGCAAAAATAACAATAATTAGAATAAGAAACAGAAAAAAATCAAGTTAGTGTGACAACAAATGCAAGGTTCCCTTTCCGGCGAAAGTGCTGCAACTGAGTGTGTCATTGCTGACCAACAATTTGTTTTCCCCACCCTCCACTCCCACTGTACAAGTATTACTCGTACACATGGAGGCATGTGGGGTTGGCGGTCAATCGCCTGCCCGCAGCTTCGGGCAAACACATGACACCGGGTTGTCATCGCAAAATGCCCCCAGAGGTGGCCGGGCACCGGGTTGCCCAGGGTGACCGCGGCCCACGACTTCAAAATGTTTCTCACCTTATCACTATTCCCTTGTTCCCTGATCATTGCCTTGGAACAGTATCACTTTGCTCTCAGATGTTTCAAAATTTGATTCGAATGATTAATAAATTTCGGGCACATGAAACCCCTCCAAAAAATACCAACCGTGATCCGTTGTTGTGTGGAGTGAATGTTGAATAATAGAATGTCCGGATATTAAATTAGAAGTTTTTCCTGGCATTTTGAGATTCGAATTATCAGGATTTCACCTGTAACAAAGAAAGTAACGTTAGTTAATTAGATAGTTTCGTTTTGCCTTTCTCATCTCGCACTCACAGAGCACAACTTGTAGGGTCCAGCGGATTCTGCCGGCAGAAAAATTGGCAGAATTCGGTACTTTTTCTGGTAAGCTTCATGCATGTTTGGTATGTGGATAAAAAATGGAGCAGAATTCGAGGAATTGCCGCCATGAGGTTTGTATGGTTCTGCCGATTTCACTGCTTTTCGAGCAGAATCTGCCACCTTTTCGAGCAGAATCCGCCGGTCCCTATATGTGGATAAAGAAATGGAGCCGAATTCGAGGAATTGCCCGCCATAAGGTTTGTATGGTTCTGCCAATTTCACTGCTTTTCGAGCAGAATCTGCCACCTTTTCGAGCGAGCAGAATCCGCCGGTCCCTATATGTGGATAAAGAAATGGAGCCGAATTCGAGGAATTGCCCGCGATAAGGTTTGTATGGTTCTGCCAATTTCACTGCTTTTCGAGCAGAATCTGCCACCTTTTCGAGCAGAATCCGCCGGTCCCTAAACACAAGTCACACAGTCATAACACTCGGGGCATTGGTATTGCTATGAGTATGACTGTGTGACTTGTGTCCTGTGAGTGCGAGATGAGAAAGGCAAAACGAAACTATCTAACTACATGTACAATGTAACTAACGACTACGTAACCGTCGTTACTTTCTTTGTTACTAGCCATGGTCCGGACCATGGTTAGCATTTTACCGTTCACGCTACATTGTATTTCGACGGTCGGCGTGTAGAGGGCGAGTCTACTGTTTTTTTTATGTGTTTTCGAGACACGGTTAGCAGTTCGGCTTCTGAGTCCTGACTCCTGACGCAACGATAGACGTGTGAGGTAACCCTAGTTAGAATCTTACCGTTTCGTTCTCCCGCTAAAAAGAGCTTTCTATCGTCGAAACGATACCAAACCGACGGTATTTTGGGTTTGGGATACGAGTACCGTTGGATCTAGCGCGTGAACTGTAAAATGCAATGTCTACACACACAAAAAAAGGTGCAGGCCGACCGTCGAAATTGCGTGAACGGTAAAATGCTAACCATGTCTACTTCCCCCACCGCAAGAAGTGTGACAGACTGTTCATACAGCTACATTTTAGCCTACACTAGTCACCATGGTCACTAGGCCGCAATACTAGGCTTTTAAGCAGTATGGCATTCAGTAGACCTAGGCTAGATCATAGTACTTCTTTAGTAATACTACTAATACTAATAGTACTAGTAGTTAGTAGATGATCTACGAGTTGTACAGCATATTGCAGTGTTGCAATGCCAGCCTCTGAGTTTGACTGAAATGTCAGGCTGGCCAGGCGCCTGCCGCCTGCACTGCTAACTGCGCCAGAAGAAACTGACATCATCATCATACACATTTTTTGTTCAATTTTCATTGTGCTAGCTCCTTGCTAGCATGCTGTTCACTCAAAATGAATGTGGCATTTCAAGAGTAGTCTTGTTAGTTGAGAGACGCCTAGTCCTAGATCGACAGCTACCGACGACTGCCTCTGAGAAGTGAGATTCTGAGGATCTAGCGAGCGGAAAGGACTCGTTCCTGCCCTGCTTCGGCTAGTGCTTGGCATCAGGCGAGCTGTCTGGCCGTTCATTGCCGGTGTAGATTGAGCAGTAGTCAGGCAAGCTTTTACCCAGCTCGACCTTGAACTTTGAAGGCGACCGATCTAGACTGCTGCCCGGATAAATAGTGGCGCAGTAGTTATTCTGCCCACGAATCACTGCCATTGGTGGATTGATCTACCCTTTGCGTGCACGCCACAGACTCAGGGCCGCGTTGTCACGATAGCAAGGAGGCTCGAGGCTGGCCTCCCTGATAAAAATCGCAAGAAAAGTAGGACAGTATAAAACGTGGAGAACGCCGAATTCTGGAGCTAGCTGTTGGTTGTAGCTGATTTTGCGGGCATTTTCATTGGAAGGGGTTGGATTTCTTCTGCAGCAAAGCGCGCTGTGTGACGTCTGATGTCAAGTACATGACTGCAGTGTACTCAGTAATCCACTGACTGTTCCCGAGCGCTAGCAGTTGCCAGTGAAGTCGAGCAATTATTATTTGAGTTGCCAAGCTTGAGCAAAGCCCAGCGCATCGCTTGGATATTTTCAATCCCTACTATACGAAACGTGTGGGGAGCATGGACGACGGAGCGACGACCGACGGAACGTCGAGATTACCGTGAGTGCCTGTGGGATAAGATCACGAATGCAATCAAAATAGGTGTGCATGCGAACAATTCAGTGTGTTCTGCTGCTGAGTAATCTGAGTGACAGAGAATGCAGCACACGTGTTGAGTGAACACACACCTAGCACACGGGTGTCTTACACTGCCTGTAAATACATGTAGCTAGCTTAGAGGGAGAGACTGCCTTTGTATTGTTGAAAGCGAGGGTCTGGCTATTACTCATCTAGTACAAGTAACTGGCTGCACGGGGTGGATGCCGTTTTGCAGCACAACTCATCATTATTCATTATTCAACAAAAAATGTAAAGAAAAAGCCGTTATGCTACGGAATATTTTAGAAGCAGCCGGGTATGCCCTTTCATTGCTTGTATAATCATGCGCTCCGGAGAACGAATGGACATTGGCACTTCCACCGTCCGACTTTTCTGAAACACCATTGCCACAATAACTGAGGTGGCCCTTGTTCTCTTCACCAGCCAGTCGCAATCTGCCAGGTTTACCAATGGAGGTTATGCGATAACGTAATCAGTTGAGATGCTTTGGTGAAGTCGCGGCGACGCGCTGCACTCACTCTCCCACCAGCGACTCACGCTGCATACGTAACGCCCATACAAAAATACACTGACTCATCCCATGACATCATTCGCATAACCTGTATAGATGTCCCCCCCCCCCACGCACACACATAATGTTAACGCTCGTCTTCATGCCTGATGATGAGGTCAGTAACGCGATGGCATGGTGGAAGCATCACTAGTATGTCAAACTCCGTCATCAGAGGACGCGATATGTGCAGTTGGCCACCAAATCTCAGCAGTGAGACTCCGTTCTCTTTGTCTGTATAATTATGGATCAAGGTTGACTAGCGACGATCCAGCCTTTAGCGGGATTCTGACACCTGGCTGCCAACTTCAATGCGGAATGTGCCGCTATAGGACCATAGAGTATACTCACTTGTTAATGAAGTCTGTCCAATATTTCACACTGGTGAGGCTTCTATCGAGCGCACAAACCTTCCTATGCAAAAGCCCAGCCATGACAGGTCAGTGTAGCTCCTTGCTTTAAACAGAGCTGGACGTGGCTTTACCATGGCGAGCATTAAGTTGGCTCAATTTTGCAAAACTGCGAACATGTGTACATGCTAAATCTATGTGAGCTAGTTTAGAGACATCAGTGACAACTTGGGTCCTCCGTTTCCATTCCCATGACCGTGGAGGCGCTGTGCGCTAATGTACAAGGGTCTTCCAGCGTAAACGATCATTTATTTTATTTGAGGATTTTCCCCAAAGACATAGTCTAAATTGAAAGGAGTTCAATATTTTGTAGGTGCTGAGGACGAACTCTTTCACTCCGAATTCAAAGCAATCACTGTCCAGACAGCGCGTGTCTTCAGTTGAGTTGGCAGCAGCTGTGAGCTTGTCCAATGTGAGGTGCTGCTGAGACATTCTCTGCATGCCAACAGCCTTGAAAGTCCCAGGGGTTCCACACAAGGCTGTCCAGCTGAGTGTGGCAGGTGCAGGCTAGAGCATGGGCTGCCTGAGGGTGACCTACAGCAACACGTGTGCGTCTTCTGTGAGATCCTTGCGTTGGTAGGAATAGGTCAGGGGAATTACGCTACCCCATTCCCTCCCCTCAGATTGATATGCGGGACATGACCGCATGCCTCTATCCTGATGCTCTAGAATGGGCATTAACGTCTTTTGTCCCCCCCCCCCCCCTCACTGTGTATCTTGCAGGTTCACTAAGCTCAGCGATGAGAGTCTTCAGCGGCAGCCGGAGGAAGTGTTTGACTTGCTTGAGAAGCTAGGCGAAGGGTAAGGCGGAGGAGGCGTATGCATGTACCCATGTGAAATCTAATGTGAAAAACTGCCAAACCGTAATGTACATACTTGCATGTGCTTTGGGTTGAATTATGAGGATATCATGTGACGAAATGATCAAACAAGGCATTTCTTCTTGCCTTCCCTTCAACTCTCTGAAATGAAGATGTTGTTTCTCTATGTGTATCTGAGTGGATGAATTAAGTTGCCCTTGAAGCAAGGACACCAATGGGAAACTGTGCGCATACATACTATGCAGTTCAATTCATATTCGATTTGTTTTCTGCGTGTGCAACCGTTTCTACTTTGTGATTGATTTATTTTCGCAGTGGTCTGGTCGAGACACTTGAAGGCAAGGAGCCTTGATTCGTGTCTCTCTTTTTCTGATTGGTTTCTCGCAGTTCTTATGGAGCAGTATACAAAGCAATGCACAAGGAGAGTGGCCAGCTGTTGGCCATCAAGAAAGTGCCAGTCGACACGGACCTTCAGGAGATCATCAAGGAGATTTCTATCATGCAGCAGTGTGATAGTCAGTATGTTGTCAAGTACTACGGTAGCTATTTCAAAGATCAGGACCTGTGGGTGAGTGTTGACTAGCAGTGTGATAGTATGTTGTCAAGTACTACGGTAGCTATTTCAAAGATCAGGACCTGTGGGTGAGTGTTGACTAACTTAGCAGGCGTTGCCCATAACTGTGATGTGCGTGTTGTCGTGTGTTTTTCCGGCCGTGGCATCTGCTTTAGTGTCTACCTACCTACGTACGGTATATTTTCTATTCTTAAGTATGTGCATGTGCGCCGCCCAGCTTGGTTATCGTGTGTCTGGCAAATTTGGGGGGGGGGTCTGTAGATTATGCTCACGATCAGCCACCCGTTGCATAGACACCAGGTGAAGTTGGGCTTCCTGGTCCAGGGTTGAAACGCAAGTCGTTTCATGTACATGTACTAAGGTTCTGTGGGATCTCCCTTGATGCGGCAACAGTTTCCTGGTGAGGAATCCCATCTGAAATCCCTCGTTTGCTGTTGTGTCCGCTCCTTTCTCTATCATGCTCAGATCGTCATGGAATATTGCGGTGCTGGCTCTGTGTCAGACATCATGAGAGTGAGACGGAAGACAGTAAGTTATTTGCCTTGGCCTTAAAGCCGCTTTTACTTTTACTTGATGACTCAGTGTTGACTTTGTCACTGGGATTCACAGCAGCATTCCCACAGTTCTATCTCTTAGCCTGTCACCAGGAAACCCTATATATAGGGTTTGACATAACGCTACACATAAAGACCCTATATATAGGGTTAGGACCCCTAAAGAAAGGGTTTGATCAGTCCTCACAACTGGGCACACAATACACACAGTTTCACTTGGTTTTTTTTTGATATTTTCACTGCATTGCCATTGATGTTAGCAGGAGCGCTCCTACGACGTGCGCGAGTGTCGCCGCATTTGCTGCTTCCGACCCACGTGTGGATCAGCTGATGCAGAAACGGCAATGGCGGGAGCGGCAGCTGCGACAGCCGCTGTTGATGCTTCGCCTTCTTCTTCAGGAGCATCCGACGCTGCTGGAACATCGACATCATCATCCTGAGTCGACACCAGGTCGCCAGGAACATTCTCATCGCCCGAGTTCGTCTCCACTAACTCAAGTTGCTCTTCCTCCATCGTGAAAAATCAAACCCTAGATATAGGGTCTAGAAAATGTTACGACAGCGCTGCACTAAAACTAACCGTACTCGAAGAAAACAGCAACAAAATGATCACGGTCTTCAGCAAGAGAACCGTACGTACATTCTACGTATGTAGGCCCAGGCGTCTAGTTGCCATAGCAGCCAAGTGGGCTCTCAAGAGAGCTCGAGATAGAACGCGCGGCTGAAAACCCTATATATAGGGTTTGACAGGCTAAGAGATAGAGGTTATATGAATGATATCATGGCGGTAAGCCATCGGAACCGATTACATGTGCTATGTATACAGCGTGAGTTGGCGGTTTCCATGGCTTCCTCTGAGCTATTGCATCGGTGCCAAGATGTTGCCAAAGCGTCTCAACCGATAATGTTATTGCCTAACCTCTATTGCTGGAGACATAGTCATGGATGAATGAACATGCTGACTGTGTGCTCGTGCACTCGAGTGTGTTTTTCAGTTGTCATTGTTCCTGTTCTTTGTGTTCTGCATCACTCTGGTACACAGTGCAAAGAAGTGGAGATAGCCTCAATCCTAAAGTACACTCTTCTTGGATTGGAGTATCTTCATGGAAAACGCAAGATCCACCGGTCAGTTGTGGACAGGGAACAGTCCTGTGTATGTGTGTGTGTGTGTGTGTGTGTGTGTGTGTTTGTTTGTCTGCTATTGTTGCTATAGGAGAAACTCTGTGGGTCTACATCCAGTGTACATCGTAATTTCAGATTGACGCGCTTCTCTTGCGACGGGCGTATTTGGTGGTGATGGTGGTGGTGTTGTGTGTGTGTGTGTGTGGGGGGGGGGGGGGGTATGTGTCACACGGTGCAGCAGTGCTCTGTATGCCAAGCACTGTAGTGATAACTCTTTCTAGAGACAAAATCGGCGGCAATGGCCACTATTTGCTCATCATCTCAATTGCACAGCCAGGACACAGCATAAGAAAACGAATGGTCTTCATGGACGTCTTTTCCTACCCAGAGCTACTTGTCAAAGCAATCTACAACCTGGTGTCCCACAGTGCATAACGGCTTCTGCATGAAAAATCCCAAATGCATTTCATATATTGTGTCTCCTCCTACATACTGCTTCCCAGTCTGTTTGTAAACCACCGATAGATATATTTTTTCAAAGCGACCTTTGTAGTTTCTCCTCACAAACACTCGTGCATGCTGACCATCGCGTTAGTCTCAAGTTTTTTCCCCCAGAATGCATCGATAATTCTTCAAAGCCGCATAAAGTGAACAGCACTCAATCAATCTCCCCTCTCCGAAGTACAATTTTACATTTTGAAAAGTATCGCGACATGCACTGACAGACGACCTGTAATGTGTCTAGTCTTGAACAGCTAAGTTTAATAGCCAGCAAAGGACACACTATCCGATTGTCCATGCCAGGTACGTGTGGTATCTAGTGAGTTGATGGCGTTGTTTGTACCCTTACCTGGTGGTGCTATAGTGACATCAAGGCTGGAAACATACTGCTCAACAGCGAAGGACATGCCAAGCTTGGTAAGCCACGCACTTCATAGTTTATACAAGCACATTTAACCATTAATTGGTTTGCGGAAAAAGTGCAAACGGGAAATTCTGAAGAAAGAATTGACTGTCACCACCGGGACCCGAACCAGGGGCCTTTGCTTGAGGCCAGCGATGCTCTAATCTCTGATGAAGCCTTTATGGCTGAAACAACGTGCTGTCTATAGCATCGGGTAACCTCTGAGCCAGGGTGTAATTGTCTGTTACTGTCATCCAAGCAGAGATCGTTCAACATGCTTAACCATTGTGAGTCATACACTGGAATCTCTTGATCACAGATGCTGCACTGGGGACTAGACGTGTGTATCTTGTTTATGGAAGGGCCCCTGTTACGGCATGCATGGCGACATGATTGACAAGAGGTCGGCACTGCACCAAAGGGTCCTGAATGCCGAGGTATCCGTAGCTGAGAATGACCGATATGTCTACTGAGAGGACTTTCTTCAATTCTATTTATGTGGTATCTCGCATACATATTATTATCTGTCATGTGACTCCTGATGCTACTGCTATTGAAAGTACTCACCCTTAACTACCTGTATAATTATGGATTTTCCGCTGCAGTGCGCATACTTGGAAACACACAGTAGGGAGAGGGGACAATTGTGGTTAGAACTCTGTGCATGGGTAATCTTCAGGTAGGCTGGTTGGTATCGCACTAGCAGACCACGTTGATGGTTCCTCTCCTCAAGAACGCTCTGGTCCAGGTGTCGGAGAGTAGGAGCATATTGGTGTGTTGGAACAAAAGCTACCCTGTCCCTGCCCCTCCCGGGCTGTTTAACCTCGATCCTACATAACAAACCTGCCATGCAGATGTCAACTGTGGTGTTGTATCATTTTCTCCCTGTCTTTGGTGATGCTTTCCTTCCCTATGCAGCTGACTTTGGAGTTGCCGGCCAACTAACGGTATGTGCAATGAATGTGGACTGGATCTGGGTTAATTTCTAGAAGAAACAATGCGTTGCAGATGAACATTATAATAGCTATGTATTCCATTGTAGCACAATGCTGCTGTTCTTGCTCATCAGTGCCTGCACATCCTGTTGATGACTACGCATCCATTAGAATTTAGAACGCAGTTGAGCCCGTAACCAGGTCGGGAGTGGATTATTAGTATCAGTCTCGGCCATTGCCATGCTTGTCTCAACCCGATGTAACACGCAGTCATTAGTGAGGTTCTGCCACACGGTATAACGTGCCAAAGTACGTATGGAAACTTCGCCGCGGTACGGGATTTAGTTTGATACGGATTTTTTCATACCGTTTTCCGTATGAAGCGCGGTTCACACGGACCGGACTCCGTGTGAAAAGTGAGCGTACAGAGTACATAATTAACATGTGGCGGGGTGTTCGTGCATGGTTCGAGCATGCTACGTACAGCAGAACCGGTGCAACGTACGAAAAATCCGTGTCAAACTTCACTGCAGTTGACACGGAGTTTGGTGCGTAGTTCCGTGTAGCAGAACCTCTCTAGTAGCAGGTTGCTACCCCCGCCACCCATCCTACTCTTGTGACAATTTCTGTGGAAAGAGTGACGTAAAAAAAGAGAAGAAAACACATGAGAACGAGTTATGCAGCAACTACCCACGACTGTAACACTGAAGATGATAACAGTCAGAAAGTGCAATAATAGATTCTGAGGTACGGACGTTAAAGTTATGGACATTGCCTGGTCCCGGGCTGCCCGGATAAGAGATATTATTATGAGTGTCTTACATGTAGTGGGGCACTGCAAGTCACTCACTATAATGACTACTAGACAAGCATTGATGTCACTTCTACACACGATTTTTGCAGGATACGATGGCAAAGCGGAACACGGTGATCGGAACGCCGTTCTGGATGGCGCCGGAGGTCATCCAGGAAGTTGGCTATGATTGTCGTGCCGATGTCTGGTCGCTAGGCATCACGTCGCTGGAAATGGCCGAGGGCAAGCCACCGTACGCCGATATCCATCCAATGAGGGTAAGGCCACCTGCGCAGGAATGGAGAATTGCAACGGACCGTTTCCATTCCCTCGATTAATACATATTTGATACACTGGGGCTCCCTGCATACTAGTTTGTGAGTGAAGTGTGTGGGTACAGCGAGGACTGCATCTCACCAGCCTGTGTGGTGTCACAGGAAGTGTGAGTTTCGAAGTCTAAAGATAATGTTGAACAGTCTCTGCTGGGATCACAGCTAAGATACACCATAGCTCAGTGGTTAGAGCATCGCTGGCCTCAAGCGAAGGTCATTGGTCCGAGTCCTGGTGGCGACAGTCAATTTTCCTTCAGACTTCTCCCTTTCCCACACCCTCAACTAGTGAATTTAAGACCCCAACGGGTGTATTCGTATCCTGCATTGGAGCCACAAAACAACTACAGTAAAACCTGATTTAAGCGACCACCCCACGGTGCAAGCAAAAGCGGTCGTTAAAGCCAGGTGGTCTTTAGAACCACGTCCCACAGTGTGTGTGTAGAACTGTCCGTGCATGGAAAAATGGTCGCTAAAACGAGAGGTCGCTTACACCAGGTTTTACTGTATTGATCTCAATTGCGAGTAATTTGCGACCCTAGCCGAAAGGATCTGGTGAGTTTGTTTTAACGAGTGCGTGATCGTGTGTGAGTTGGTGTAGTACCGTGTCCACCTTTAGCCCCCTGCTAGCAATTGCACGGTGGTGGGGCATAGTTTTTGACATGTGTGCCCAGTCACTGAGGTTCTGCGCCACCTCTTCGTTCCAGATGAGATGGATGATCACTCAGCCCCCACCCCATACATTGTCATGATTGACTGTATTCGTAATTGCAGCCTGGGTTTTCTTCTAATGTTTTTGCCCAGGCCAATGCACGTGGGTAGTTGGGTACTGTGATGATAGGTTATTTTCATCAAAGTCGAGGAGCTGTGACATCATTCATGATCCACAGCAAGAATGCAACAATGCCTGTATCTATGTCGAAGTAAAATAAAGATAGCATAACTTATTGTGTTCAATTACAATGTATTGACTGTTTTCATATTTGAAGAGGTGGCGCTTCTTCTATTGCTTTTTTTGCCCAGGCCATATTCATGATTCCCAGTATGCCCCCGCCAGTGTTCAAGCACCCGACCAAGTGGTCGCAGGAATTCATCGATTTCCTGGCACAGTGCCTGGTGAAGAATCCCGAGGAAAGACCGACCGCCACAACTCTCCTAGACGTAAGAATGCGCTGTGTAACACTGAGCGGTCGAACCGTAGATGAATTTTGCTGTTACTAACTCACTAATTAATTGCTGCAGTGGGGCATGTGCTTAGCATTCATCCCATGCAGTATTGTACAGGATTACACTGGTCTTTGTAGACAGGTGGTCTTTCAAGACAGGTCGGAAGTCTATGCAGAAACATGGTGTGAGTCCTGAAATGTCTGGTCTCATAAGATAGGTAGTCTTTCAAAACCGTGAGGTAGTCTTTCCAAAGAGGTAGTCTTTCAAGACAAGTCTGACGTTTATGCGGAAATATGGTGTGGGTCCTGTGATGGCCGGTCTCATAAGATGGTTAGTCTTGCAAGACAGGTCTGTATGTACATGTACACTGAAGCATGAACTTGTACTAGCTGCTTGCCATTATGCCATTGGATGCTAGTGTGCCTTACTGCTTAAGTTCATTGATTAATTTCCAATGTGTGATGTGGACAGTGTAAACCTGCCTCATGCCCGGACTATGCAGGCGCGTGCACCGTATGAGTTTTTTGGTGTCTGGAAACCACCTTTTTTCGGGCAATCTTGCCCAAAGAAAAGCGTGCCTACTGGATTGGTTATCCTGCATATGCGTCGATCGACGGGCAGTTTACAGTGACTATGTCCTTATTTCGAAGTGAGAGAGAGTTGCTTTTCATGCAGTTCAAAATACATTTTTCTTTCTTTCTTCAGTGGAGAGTAGCCACAGCAGTACAGAGGGATCGATCTCTAGCTCTGGTTCGCTCATGGATTGGCGATGACGTTCAAGAAATCCGTTTTGTCTCGAAATTTGAGTCAAGCACACGCGATACAAGTCAGTTCAAGGATATGATTGACGATATCTCCTTCCAAACCGTTGACTCAAATCAAGATCTCCACAGCCCTTCGTTGTCGCTCATGTGCGCAGCAGAGATGTTCATCAAAAACGTTGTCGACTGGAAGACGTAAAAATGTGCGTCCATGATCCACTTGCGCTGCTTCAGAATAAAGCGCTGCTCCTGCCGCGACTCAAGGACGCGGGGCTTCGCCTTTCTTCCGCGAGCTTCCATCGAAGCAAGTCCATAACTCTCTATTGAAATCATGGAACATTGCCAATACATGCTGAAAACTTTCGTCATAAGAACAGAAAGAAAGATACGTTGAATGTAAGCAGTGTTTTGATGAAACAAACAAGCCTGGTGTGAACTAGTGAAGTACCATAGACATAGTGCTATACGTATAGACTGTAGACGTGTAGCCTGGGCGGCTAGGCCTATCAAACGTTTACGTGTTCAATAATTATGACAAACATGTATGAGTACATTGACTTTTGCACCCTCTTTACAAATGCTTTTTGAAGTGCTGGTATGTAAAACGTAACCCGGTTTATCCTAGATCCTGCTACCAGTTATACATGTACCAACATTTCCATGTAACATCGTCCCCTCCCTCCATTCCTCATTACTCTTATTTCTGTCCTTTCTACCCCTGCACCTGGTTCCCTCTCAGACGCGTTTGTGCCGGCATGATCTGATGATAGCAGTCGAACGAGCCCCGGATCTCATCAGCACCAGTGTTCATTGGTGCCCTGCACCCCTGATCTTGAGTCCCCCTCCTCCCTAGCCCTCGCCGTTATCTCCGACGGGATGTTCGAGGGATGCGCATGTGCACAAACACATTATTATCCAGTGGGTCTCCATAAAAAAATTGCCAACTCTAGAAACCCCCCTTTCAAGACTCGGTGCACGCCACTGCTATGTATAAGCAGGTTGGTTTGATTGCTCGATCACTCATTCCAATATTCGCTAACAATGCGTGCATCGTGCATTTCATTAGGCAGACGTTTCGTTTAAAAGGTGATATCTTACTAAGTCTTGTTACACGTAGTACACGTACTTAAACGTCCAGTTCTATGCACATGGTATTGGACTGGCATGTACTAGTAACATGCATATACTGTAATCATTTCTCTGTTGCATGCTGTCGCTGTACAGAAAGGGTTTATAAAGAATGCCAAGCCACCGGCATGTCTGAAGGAGATGATCGAGGAAGCTCTGCAGCTGATGAAGGAGCCCAGGCATGAGAGTGATGTAAGTTCAATGTGATATTGCACGGGGGCAGTTTCACTTCACAGAGAGGCGTGCATGTGCTGAGGACAGCTGCCGAACAAAGAGTGATGTTGTTTCACTGTCACACTGCACTTCGCCCGTTTGATACCGGGAAAGACCCCAGGCCTGGCCACCATCACGTGAATAATTATGAGCTCGATCTGTGGGGCAGTATCTCCATTGCTTCATCAAGCTTGGCACACGTAAACCGCAAACCCATCCAGGGTGGGATTTCACCAAGCTTGGAGTACAATGATCATGCATGTGTTGTTTTTGTGGAGATATCATTTTCCAGCACAATACTCTCTCCTATAAGAGCCACCTGCACATTGCGGAGCATGTAGTGTATGAGCATTGTATGAGCATAACTACTAAGTAGGTTTGAGATCAGCACAGTAGTCGTTATAGTTCTACATGTACATGTGTGTACCGTGCATGCCATAGCCACATGTGCAGTACCGGTATGTAGAACAAGCAGTAATAATATTACTACTTGTTACTGCATAGCACTTGCATGCATCCTTCTGCACATGCTCATGGTCATGGCCGTTCCCTGTACTTTCCCTGTTTTTTTTTGTGAGTTTGGGCGCTCCTTGGGGTGCCACTGCCGGGAGTTCACTTTTTCAACACCTTGGCCTGCATGGGGCTGTCTCCATACACGAGGACACAGGGTGTCTGTGCTGCAAAGTAATCTTGCTCACGTAATTCACGATGCCAACTATAGTATCACTGCCCAATGAATCCATCCTAACATGGATGCTGCACCACGCGGACTAGTAATTGTTTTGGCTTCTTGTTTACCTTTTGCACTTCTATCACTTGGAATGAGGGTGACATGGATGCAGCTGACAAGGTTTTGCACTCTTGTTGGGCATTGGTTGTGAGACTTACTGTTAGCTGCTCCACTCCAGTCTCTCCGGAGGCGTGGGTTCGAATCCCACTGCTGCCACCAGTGTTAGCTGCTCCCGGAAGTCCCCTCACACCGGAACACAGGGGTTTTATATGATTGGATTATAGAAGTATTCGACAAGAGTGTAGACAGAAGGAGAACAGGACAATGACCACTCAAGACTAGACTAGAACAGAACAGAACTGGAGACCCACTGGAGCATGCGCTCTTCTATATGTGAGTCTCATTGCCAAGGGGAACGAGCGGGAAATACGAATAGTGAGTATGTACAGGTCGTAGCATTAAAATACACCTATTACACTTACCAACTCACCCTCGCCGTTAGGCGGTGCATCTGCCACCCTGGTATCACAGGCATTGTGGTGACCTAACACAAGCGAAACATCCCAAGCGATCATGGCTACAAGCCAGTACTATGCTTCAAGTGTGTGAATCGGAATATCACATCACCTTTCCTAAACTCGGATGTTGAAACAAAGTAATCGTGGATAACTCGTAACATTTTGTCCTTTCTCTTTATCTTTCCTAAAGTTTTTTTTTTAAATTCTGCATCTGCCACCTTGGTAGCTCATGCATGATGGTGGCCTGACACAAACATAACAAGCCGGTTGTGTTTCTCAACATATTGCATAGCAGGTGGTAATGCGAATATGTGAACTTTTTGCCTTTATTCATCAGGATGAAGAAACAGAAGCCGATCAAAGCCTGGGAACGATGATATCTCATTCAGACTCGAGCAAGGATAGCCGATATAGTCAGAGATGGGCCGGTGGTTCAGGCATTCCCTCGGAAGGTACAGCATTATGAATGTGGTACTAGATGTTCTATATCCCCATTCAGCCTTCTCCAAGAGATTTACCTCTGTGTTCCCAGCTCAGCATGACAAGGATGCAGCAAATAGGATAGTTTCGGTCTTTGACCACTTTGTCAGTGGGCTGATCTACTCGCCTCCCACCGCTTTAGTCTTTTAGGAGCTACGGATGCTGAAAACTCAGTCCAACTGAGTCTCAAGCAAACCATGGAATTTTTTCCCGCTCGACGGATCGCCCACTTCAACTTCACATTACACGCTGTGAATGAGAAGCTTAACCCGGTTGCATGCTTGGCCGGCGATTTTATCTCGTGCAGTGAGCAGACGAGATATGAACTACACTACTCTTTGTTTTGTCTCCACTCCTCCTAGGAAATACTATGCTGCTCAGCCAGCCGAATAGTGTACCAGTGTCAGAGCCTGGCTCAATCCGAGCGTCGACGCAAAACACCATGGTGGTGAACAGCGAGTCAGCACGCTCCACCATGAGTGAGCAGAGCAACGGCACGGGCGGCACAGCGGCAAGCTACAGCAGTATGGTCATATGCGAGGATACACCAGACGCTACCATGAAATGTGAGTATGCCAGGGCACACACGCGTGCACACACACACACACACACACACACACACACACACAAGACAGAGGTGACTGTTGATAGTTTTGTTTTCCAGGACTAGCAATGAGGCAGTGGTTGTTCCTAATCACCTGTGCTATTTTTAAGATAACTCTTCAGAGCCGTAGCTGGCAACCCTTGGTTGGAGGTCCATAATCTAGTGCTACTCCGCTGCTGCACACTGATCAGTGCATGCAGTACAGATTTGAGAAGGGCATGTCATGCATACTGTACCAATCGGGACTACATATGGCACTGTTTTGAGCTCCGATTCCCCATACTGGACCTGTAAGTTATCAGGTGATGGCATTCCGATTCAGAACATGGCCACACACGATGCTTTGGTGTACATAATTATAATGTGTACTACGACAATACTGCTTAATGAAATCCAATCGAGTGAGTCGAGTCAGCGCATGGGTGCACTGTGCATCTCTAGACCTGCTAACACTGGGATTCTCACTGGAACAGCCGGCGCAAAGGCGATTCACACGATTGGATTGTATTCACCAGCACTGTAGCTATAACTCGGACTGCATGTGCAGACTCATCGTCCTGGTACTCAGCTCTCTTCCTTCAGTGGCGGGTTTCCGCAGTGCTGCTCAATGAAATCCGGTCACGTCACTCAAGTACGCGCCGGGCGTTGCGCAGCCCCAGACCTGCGAACACTAGGCTGCGAAATGGTGCAAGGCGCAGACTTGAGTGACGTGACTGGATTTCATTGAGCAGGACTGTATTTCCAATGTTTGGTGTGTACGGAATGCCAGGGCGCAGCACAAAACTGCTTTGTGGAGCAGGCACATTTTTTACACAGCTGTTCCCGTGTTCTTGTCTCACGTTATCCATTCTTGTTTCTTCTTGTGTGGGTTCTGTGCATAACCTAGTGATGGATGGTTCTGCGTCCAACACTGCCCAGTCGGTAAGCGCTGACGGTGGTGCTGGGGCAGGTGCTCTGGCCGGCAAGCGCAAAGCGCGACAGGAGTATCGGCCGTCCTACATGGATCACCTCGACAAGATAGAGAACAAGTTTGCGCCTCCCTCGCAGTCCTCTCAAGCGAAGCCTGCAGGTAGGGACAGCCGAGGTGATGCTGGTGCTGGTGGCTGGTGGCAGTGCTGGCGGTGGCGGTGGCGGGGTTGGAGGTGGGGTGGCGCTGGGGGTGGCGGTGTGGTAGAGTAGGGGGTGGGGGTGGGGGGGGGGGTGAGGTAGGGTAGGGGTGGGGGGGGGGTGAGGTAGGGTAGGGGTGGGGGGGGTGAGGTAGGGTAGGGGTGGGGGGGGAGGGGGGGGGGGAGGTAGGGTAGGGGGGTGGGTGAGGTAGGGTAGGGGGGTGGGGGGGGGTAAGGTAGGGTAGGGGGGTGGGGGGGGGGGGTAGAGTGGTAGGGTAGGGTGGCGGTGTGGTAGAGTAGGGGGGTGGGGGTGGCGATGAGGTGGGTAGGGGGGGGGGGGGTAGAGTGGGGTAGGGTGGTGGTGCCAGTGTGGTGTTGGGTAGGGTGGGGTAGTGTGGTAGTGCGGTAGGGCAGGGACTGGCGTCACAGATAATTGGCATTGATCTTTGATTCAAGACATTGTGCCACCCACATAGATTGTTCAACTGACTGATGCTCGAACACAATGCGCATTGTGTTCCATTGTGCATAGGGAAAAAGGCCCATACCCGGTATAACCTGCTTGCTAGTCAAACAGACAAGGTCCGTGGTGTATCCATATATGTTCTGCCTGTTGTACGCATTGCCCTTTTGCACTCGCGTGTGTACGCATACTAGTACACACATGCATCACGGTTTTCTGCCTGTCCTTTGCTATGGACAAGAAGTCTTTTCTCTTTGTCTTCTGAAAGATAAGTCACAAACCCTACCTCGTGTGTTTGCGTTTGTTGACACAACATGGCGCAGTGAACGTCTTACTTTACCTGTAGTCTTAGTATACTAGTAGTTCCATTGCAGTTGTAGAGTAGCCCACCTGTAGTGTTGCTCTCTGCCCGTTTTCGTTTCGCTTCGAAAATTGTCCGTTTCGAAGTTCTAGAATTTTTTCGTAGCCTTGTAGTACGATATCGATAGTTGTGATTTCGCCATGGCGGATGGTGCTAAGTCACAGCCGGACATCAACCAACTGGTGCAGCTGATCCAAGCTCAAGTGCAAGCATCTGCCCAGCGCGATGCGCAGCTCCAAACTCTGTTGCAGTCAATGTCGCAAGGATCATCAAGCAGCACGAGTGCACCTGCTTCGTCTGCTCCTGCTCCATCCACCAAGCTCGTCGCTGTGGATCGGCCCATATTGTTGTCGTCGGCGAATCTAGCTGAATTTGTATCGTGGAGCGAGGCCTGGGAGGACTACTCCCGGTGTCAGCTGTTGTCAGCGCAGCCCCGCGAGACAAGGATGGCCGCGTTTAGGCAGGCCTTGGATGAGGACCTGCGACGTTTCGTTCGTGAAGGTGTGATTGTGGTGCCAAACACCCATGATGTCCCGGAGGCCATGGTTGAACTACGCAAGTTCATCCGGCGCCAGCGCAACCCCCTGCTGGACAGGATTGAATTTTACCGCCGTGCCCAGCAACCTGGAGAGACGTTCGACGCGTGGTACACATCCCTGAGGGAGTTGTTTCATGCGTGCAACTTCTCCGGGTTGGATGTCTGTTCGACATGCTCAGGGCGTATGTGTCAAACATGCCAGCAGTCGCTCCAGGCTAACACGGATGAAATTCTGCGAGACCGCATTGTTACCGGCATCCTGCAGGATGACGTTCGACACAAGCTGCTGGCAATGAAGGATCTAACCCTGGCAACCTGCGTCGACCTATGCCGCGCCGAGGAGGCTGCCAGTCAAACCTCGTCACGTATCCCCAGTCAGGCCACTGGAGACGCGTCCGTGAGTGCCGTTCGTTCCAGCTATAAGAAGCAGAAAGGAATGGCATCCAAGCAAGCTCGAGCACCCGCAGCCAAGGATACCAAGTCTGGCAGCAAGCCCTCGCCGGACAAGTGTCCCAACTGTGGCCGCACCGCTCATAGCAAGCGACCCTGCCCTGCTGCGGATCGCAAATGCAACGGCTGCCAACGCACCGGTCACTTCTTATCCATGTGTCCGTCTGCTTCTAAGAGGACTGTTGGTCAGCTGAAGCTGCAACGTGCCGCGTCCTCCCGTGAAGGGGCTACCATAGCCGTCAACACGCAGCTCGTGTCTGCGGACAAGCCAACCAGTTTGCGCTGGCTTCCTGACACCGGCAGCGACATCAACGCTATTGGCCCTGCACACCTCGAGCTCCTCGGAGACTTTATTGAGAATCTGCCTCCCGACAAGGATGTTGTGCGCACCGCTGATGGCGCACCCTTGACCAGTCTTGGCAAGATCCAGGCGACCTTGACGCTCGATTCCGTCACACACGACACCACACTGCACGTGTACAAAGGCCTGGATGAGGCACTGCTATCCCGCCAAAGCCTCTGTGCCTTGAATCTGTTGCCTGCTTCTTGGCCCTCCGTGTTTGTCCGTTCTGCCCGTACTGAACCCAACACGGCCCGGCAGCTCCAACAGCAGCTTCTGGAAGAGTTTGCCGACGTTTTCGACAGCTCACAGCTTCCACCAATGGATGGTCCGCCCATGGACATTCAGTTGGAACCAGGTGCAGAACCCAGCTGCGTCCGCACTGCTCGCACCATACCGTTTGCCTACCGGGATCAGATAAAGTCCCAACTGGACAGTATGGTCGATGATCGCATTATCGAGCCAGTCACAGAACCCTCTGCGTGGTGCCATCCGATCGTTCTCGTTGAGAAGAAGGGCACAACTGAGATGCGACTGACTGTGGACCTTCGAAAGCTGAATGATCAGGTACGCAGACCCACCCATCCTGCTCGTACACCACATGACGCAGTGGCAGCCATCGGCAAAGCCCGCTACTTCACGAAGCTCGACGCCCGACATGGCTATTGGCAAGTCCCGCTGTCCGACGATGCCAAGCCGCTCACCACCTTTATCACACCGTGGGGGCGGTACCAGTTTCTTCGCAACCCGCAGGGCCTTGTCTCGGCTGGTGATGTATTCAACTCCCGTACCGACGCAGCGTTTGATCGCCTCACCAACTTCGTAAAAGTGGTTGACGATGGTCTTGTGTACGATACGGAACTGACGACTCATTTCACCCACGTTCGTGACGCTCTGCTCCGCGCCCGTCAGCACGGCATTACCCTGAGCGCCAAGAAATTCGTCTTCGGCGTCCCAGAAGTCGACTACTGTGGCTACCACATCAACACGGATGGTTACACCGTTGACAGTGACAAGACGGCAGCCATCACTGATTTCCCAGTACCCGTTAATCGCACTGACGTCCGCTCATTCTTCGGGCTAATCAATCAGTGTAGTGATTTCTCGCCCCGTATCGCACAGCTCAGCGACCCGCTTCGCCCGTTGCTGAAGTCCACGAATGTGTTCCTGTGGGAGTCGGCACACACTGACGCGTTTAACGCCGTCAAAGCTGCCCTGGCTTCTCCCCCGATATTGTCGTTCTTTCAGCCTGGCCGACCGCTTCGGTTAGAAACTGATGCGTCCGTGAAGAACGGACTTGGTTATGTTTTGTGGCAGCAGCAGGGCGACACCTGGTGCATACTCCAATGTGGAAGCCGGTTCCTCTCTGATGCCGAGACGAGATACGCCGTCATTGAGCTTGAATGCCTTGCGGTTACCTGGGCAGTACGCAAGTGTTCGATCTATCTCTCCGGTGCTCGGTTCGAAGTTATTACCGACCACCGCCCGCTCATCCCTATTCTGAACTCCTACTACTTGGATCAGATAGAGAATCCCCGGCTACAGCGGCTCGTCCTGAAACTTCGGCCCTATCAGCTACACGCAACCTGGCGGAAAGGCACGGATCATGCTTTCCCTGACGCTCTGTCCCGCCATCCAGTCAGCGACCCCTGCCCTGACGATGAACTGGGTGAGAGTACTGCCTCTCAGGGCGCTGCTATCCGTGCGTGCACGCTTGATACGTCTGGTGGCCTGAAGTACCACGCGCTCCGCTCCGCCGCCCAGGCCGACGCTGACTACCAGTGCCTAGTTCAGTTCATCGTGTCTGGTTTCCCTGCTAAGAGGTCCCTCATGCCTGAGTCACTCCAGCCGTACTGGAATGGTCACGAGCACCTCTCTATTGACAGTGGTTTAGTGATGAAAGGACCCCGTCTCTTGATTCCCGTCGCTCTCCGGCAGCGTGTCTTGTCTGATCTGCACGCATCCCATCAAGGATTGACGCGCACGAAGTCCCGTGCCCGGCAGATTGTATTCTGGCCACGATTGTCAGCCGACATCGAGCATGTTGTCCGCAGTTGTGACAAGTGCCGCCTGCACAGCGCCTCACAACCGAAGGAGCCACTCCGTGTGGACGATCGTGCTCCAGATCTGCCATTCCAGCATTGCAGCGCCGACCTGTTTGAGTGTGAAGGCCTGCAGTATCTAGTGTATGTGGACCGACTAACCAGCTGGCCCTGCGTTGCCAAGCTCGGACGCACTGCCTCCTCTGCAGACGTCATTCGGTCTCTTCGCCGCTGGTTTCCTGACATTGGTGTCCCCGAGGTACTTACCAGTGATGGTGGCCCTCAGTTCCAGTCCCATGTGTTCGCTAAGTTCTGTGATACCTGGCACATCCGTCATGCTAAATCCTCTCCCCATTATCCGCAGTCGAATGGGCTTGCCGAGAATGCCGTGAAAGCCATGAAGTCGCTAATTCACAAGACCACTAGTAATGGCGACCTCGACGTGGATTCCTTTCAACGTGCGTTGCTTGAGTGGAGGAATACCCCGAACGCCACTGGTCAGAGTCCAGCCCAAGCTCTCTACGGCCGGCCTCTGTCGTCTTTTGTGTTTGCCCACCATTCCAGCTTTGCTCCTGCATGGCAAACACACGCTAATGAAGTTGACCAGCGCTCATCACACTACCTGGAGTCGACTCAGCAGCATTACAACCGCTCTGCTCGGTCCCTTCCTCGTCTGTCTCTTGGAGCACATGTCGACATCCAGCATCCCCGGACCAAGTTGTGGTCAGCTCATGGCTCAATCGTAGCCATTGGTCAGCACCGGGACTACTTGGTGAAACTTCCAAGCGGCCGCATCTATTGGCGCAACCGCCGTTTCCTCCGACCAAGAGTCTCTCCTACACCCCCGCCAGCTGCAGCCGTCCCTACTGTTTATGCTCCAGACGCGGCACAAGGCCAGACACCAGTTGCCTCTATTGCCCCTGGTGTACATGCCCCAGCACAGCCTGCACCACGCCGCAGTCATCGCCATCGGCAGCAGAATGTCCCGTTTAATGTGATATCCACACGCGGACAATCTTATGACTGATGACTTTGTCCTCATTCTGTTTCTGCTCTTCTGCCGGACCTATGACTGTTGCTGTTACTTATGCACTTCATTGCTGCTGTGTTTTTTTTGTTTTTGTTTGTTTTGATCAGATAAATATGTCTTTTATCTCAGAAGGGGCGTGGTGTATCCATATATGTTCTGCCTGTTGTACGCATTGCCCTTTTGCACTCGCGTGTGTACGCATACTAGTACACACATGCATCACGGTTTTCTGCCTGTCCTTTGCTATGGACAAGAAGTCTTTTCTCTTTGTCTTCTGAAAGATAAGTCACAAACCCTACCTCGTGTGTTTGCGTTTGTTGACACAACAGTCCGTGCACCCGTCAATGATCTAAAGCCAGTGCCGTTTGTGGATGGCGGGGTTCAGGCAGCTATGCGTGTGTGTGTTCGGTTGATAAACATAATGATAATACGGCGAACAACGTGCCACACAACTTGAGACTGAGGGGCCGTGTGCATCTAGCTGCGTACAATGTGTAACAAGTTATGTGTATGGTACATCATAAAGATCCCCCTCCGAATTTTTTTCCCACGGATAACACCGCCGACTCCCGGTCATACCACTCCTCACTGCCTGGTGGTGCCCCTGTGCCGACCGAATGAGGCTTCTTTGCATTCTCTTTCTGGTGCGCGCGTCCTTGCAGGCCTGGGGTCGAGTGCCGACTATTCCTTCCTGGCGAGCTTGTCGTACGAGGAGCTAGCCAGGAGGTTGTCCACCCTGGATCCAATGATGGAGCAGGAGATTGAAGAGCTGCGCCGAAGGTAAGAATGTGATTGTGAAACCTGTTGGGTGATGCCTGTGCTCTCGAGAATGGTATTAGTTCCGATGGCAATAGCATGGTGGTCAGCTCCCATCACACCTGCTTCTGTATACAGTGAAATCTGTAACTAGCGACCACCCCTTGGCGCCAGAGAAAGCGGTCTTTAGTGGCAGGTGGTCCTTAGTTAAGAGGTTAGCACTGCACAGCCATATATTAATGTGAGACCGTCCGTGCCTGGCGAAATGGTGTGTAGTACCAGGCTGGTCGCTAGTCACGGCGGTCTCTAGTACCAGGCTGATCACTAGTCACGGTGGTCTCTAGTACCAGGCTGGTCGCTAGTCACGGTGGTCTCTAGTACCAGGCTGATCCCTAGTCACGGTGGTCTCTAGTACCAGGCTGGTCGCTAGTCACGGTGGTCTCTAGTACCAGGCTGGTCGCTAGTCACGGTGGTCTCTAGTACTAGGCTGGTCGCTAGTCACGGTGGTCTCTAGTACCAGGCTGGTCGCTAGTCACGGTGGTCTCTAGTACCAGGCTGGTCGCTAGTCACGGTGGTCTCTAGTACCAGGTTGGTCGCTAGTCACGGTGGTATCTAGTACCAGGCTGGTCGCTAGTCACGGTGGTCTCTAGTACCAGGCTGGTCGCTAGTCACGGTGGTCTCTAGTACCAGGCTGGTCGCTAGTCACGGTGGTCTCTAGTACCAGGCTGGTCGCTAGTCACGGTGGTCTCTAGTACCAGGCTGGTCGCTAGTCACGGTGGTCTCTAGTACCAGGCTGGTCGCTAGTCACGGTGGTCTCTAGTACCAGGCTGGTCGCTAGTCACGGTGGTCTCTAGTACCAGGTTGGTCGCTAGTCACGGTGGTCTCTAGTACCAGGCTGGTCGCTAGTCACGGTGGTCTCTAGTACCAGGCTGGTCGCTAGTCACGGTGGTCTCTAGTACCAGGCTGGTCGCTAGTCACGGTGGTCTCTAGTACCAGGCTGGTTGCTAGTCACGGTGGTCTCTAGTACCAGGCTGGTCGCTAGTCACGGTGGTCTCTAGTACCAGGCTGGTCGCTAGTCACGGTGGTCTCTAGTACCAGGTTGGTCGCTAGTCACGGTGGTCTCTAGTACCAGGCTGGTCGCTAGTCACGGTGGTCTCTAGTACCAGGCTGGTCGCTAGTCACGGTGGTCTCTAGTACCAGGCTGGTCGCTAGTCACGGTGGTATCTAGTACCAGGCTGGTCGCTAGTCACGGTGGTCTCTAGTACCAGGCTGGTCGCTAGTCACGGTGGTCTCTAGTACCAGGCTGGTCGCTAGTCACGGTGGTCTCTAGTACCAGGTTGGTCGCTAGTCACGGTGGTCTCTAGTACCAGGCTGGTCGCTAGTCACGGTGGTCTCTAGTACCAGGCTGGTCGCTAGTCACGGTGGTCTCTAGTACCAGGCTGGTCGCTAGTCACGGTGGTCTCTAGTACCAGGCTGGTCGCTAGTCACGGTGGTCTCTAGTACCAGGCTGGTCGCTAGTCACGGTGGTCTCTAGTACCAGGCTGGTCGCTAGTCACGGTGGTCTCTAGTACCAGGCTGGTCGCTAGTCACGGTGGTCTCTAGTACCAGGCTGGTCGCTAGTCACGGTGGTCTCTAGTACCAGGTTGGTTGCTAGTCACGGTGGTCTCTAGTACCAGGCTGGTCGCTAGTCACGGTGGTCTTTAGTTACAGGTTTTACTGTATATGTTATCTTGAACCTTTCATTGTTTGTCATCTAGTCTGGTGCACCTGAACCGCCATTACTTTGCCACAGAGGGAGGGAGAGGGGGGGGGGGGGGGCAGACCTATTGCACATGATCTACCACATGATGATGATACTAGTGAGCCATGTTGTTTCTCCAACTCCTGTCAGTCACTGCATCAATGAGTCACATGATACCGGCCATGTTGGTTCCACTGTCCACACAGACTAGAGTCTGGCCGTTTTTCTGGGCTGGTCTAAGCCAACAAGGTGGCTGAGAACTGAGGTTCCACTGTACCAAGAGTAGATAAACAAGAGTGTGCAACTCGCGGATGGGTTGGCCCAAGGCGGAAATTTTTGTGTGCACTTGGCCGGGCTTTACAGGACGAAGTTGGTGCCCAGCACGTGCTCTCACATTGCTCTGCGGCAAAATGCGTGTGCTCTGTGTGACACGCGTCGTGTTTTCTGAAAAAGGTGACGTCAAAAAAATGTCCGGGACTATAACATTCTCCTTCGCTGTTTCTGTTTCAGATACCAGTCCAAGCGACAGCCCATACTGGACGCTGTCGATTCCAAGAGAAGGCGCATTGCCGTGTCGCCATAGCAATCTAAGCTGCAGTCTTGTCACCGACCCACTGAGTTGTATTTTCGTCCCCTTGAGGTACCAATTGTAGTTACCTGTAGGCCCGGTAACCAACTCGTTGACACTAACGTATTATGAACGTCGTCACTGGACTATGTAATCTCAGCTCTTCGTATGTTGTACAAACCAGGGAGTAGTAAAATACTGGTATTTTACTACTCCTGGTACAAACTCACCTTCAAGTTAGCGAGTTCGCACCACCACTACCACCGCTATGTACAGTATCGCAGCATTTTGACTTTACCTACCAGCTGAGCACTAGCAATGCTCGATACTTTCTACTAGGATTCTGTAGTGTTCCGGCGCCTGCCTTGTTTCATGTAGCCGTGCTTTGGGATGGTGGTGAGCTGATCAGGTATGCAAGACTACACTCATTTCCCTAAACACTGACCATCTGACGAATTTTCACGAAACCTGGCTGATTTTTTGAGTTTGTCCATACTGATCATGTTTTGCGATGTTCCTTGTCTAGCTGTACTGCAATTCGACTTGCATGAACTAAATTCAATTTAGCCTGTATCCACTCCTTCTGCTAGTCCATGACTGCACTCTGTGGAGGCTGTCCATGCTTTCCATGTACGGGACGGGAACAGGCGGCGCATGCCTTGTATATGGATGGCTGTGTGCATATGGCAGTGCATTCATAATCTTTGCAACCCGGATAAACTTTATAATGACATTGAATATGCCCAATGCTGTAGACATTGAGTATGCTGGTGTACATGTTGCATCCGCCGAGCTACTCAGCGAGTGTGCCCGCGGATAGCTGTACGGGAACATAGAGAACCTTGTAGTGTACATATCCTTGTTATTCTTTCCGATTTCCGCTGCTCTCATGCGGTGGTAGCGTTCTGCCAAGGATTGCCTGTAGGGCTTGCGGGGCCTGCCTGCAACTGTTGTGTTCGTAATGTGCTTGGCACCATGATACGGCTGTATAGTTTGCACATAGAAGTTTGCTGTATAGTTTGAAGTTTGTAGTTCAGCGTCGTAGAACAGTGGCTGCACATGCTGCATATCTACATGTATAATATCCATGTCGGTTGCAGCAGGCCTGGCCGCTGACCGGCCTTCTACTCACTCACTGTGGAGTATGGACAAGTTTCCCACAGTCTTGTGGTTCCTAGTTGCACTGATGATGTTGAAAATACCCAGAACATGAAGTGTTGATTGCCAGTTGTGCCACATTGCATTTTGCGGGTACTTTCAGGTCGTGGGACGATCCTCTAGGGCTCCATGCATTTCCCAGTGCCGTGATCACGAGCAGTTGGCCACAGCACTGTGGGGTGCCCAGTTGAACCATCGGCCCGGCTCTCGGCAGTCTAATTGATACTGATAATGAGAAGTTGTGTGGGTCCCTGCTACAAAACTGCTGGTATTCTGGAGTCTCGTATGACTGGATCTTGGACTTGGATGCAAGGGGGGGGGGGGGGGGTGTCCGGGTAGACTAGATTACAGTGTGTGTGTGTGCGGGGGGGGGGGGGGGGTTGGGGTGGTAGGTAGACCTAGCCAAGAGAGGCGACTCCCTGGCCTGGCGACCTGTCTGCTAGCTGCTCATGTTGCAAAAGTATCCGCCAGCGGGATTCGAACCTACGCTAGCGCTAGCAGGGATCACACACACCCGTGGGCGTGGCTCCTTCTTGCTGTACATTGCTCCCCCGCCAACACTGCCGTGTCCTCACGCCACGCCGTAACTACTAGTATGGTACTCGCGGGGGGTATGATGGGTCGCGGGTCGTGGGGTTCGAGCAAGCTCCAATGTAACTTTTGTTGCAAAAAACTCCACTTTAAATAAAGCCAAACAACAACAACAACAAAAGAAGGAGCCACCAGTATAATACAGCGAACCGCGTACCGGCACCCCTGTTTTCCCGGGACAGGGCCGGGATCACACACACCCGCATCCGTGATCATGGTGATCCGTGCGCGTGCACGCGTGGCTCCTTCTCGATCTTGCAAGCTGCATGCCATACACTCAGATCCGTTACCACGGTTACGTGTAGATATGGCATGATCCACATCACATGACCCAGGTCGGGTGATCTGATCTCGCTGATCCAGGCCAGTGTTAATCCGGATCCCGCGACCCCATCCCGACAGATCTGAATCTGGATTCAGACATGGCACGTGCTTGTTGCCAGGCCACAGCCAATGAGCGGCCAGAATAAGCGGGCAAGATCAGTAGATCTTGCCCGCTTATTCTGTACGCGATACGGTACAACTGCTGTTCTTGCCCGCATATCCGGGCAAGAACAGCAGTCATACAGCACCGCGCCGCACATGCGTACTTACCATTTTTCGAAGTCCTTGCCGGCCTTGGTCAACATCTCCGACGAGTTCTTCAAAATTTGTCTCGCTTCTCCAAAATTACTCACTACTGTCTTGAACATCTTGAACGTCTGTAGGGAGGCCAGAAACGCCATCCAACCTTGCAGCTGGGCATGTTGCTCGGCGAAACGCACGTAAGGGAAGCAGACCTCAACAAGTGTAGTTTCTCAGCACTAGCATTCGAACCTTACTCTGACAATCATCAATCTTACTCGGAGAACGGGTTTATTCAACCAATCATATTACTGGTACTACTAACGTTTCTACTGCCTTCACTGTACTTGAATACTTTCATCTCAAAAGTGGAAAGTCCTGACCAAACAAATCTGTTTGTGATGGACATTGCACACAATGTGACATTGCGGCATTTTGACATTGCCAAGGCTTTTTTTCTCTTTGAACATCTCCATATATGTGGGCCTTGTCTGAACCGCAATCCTACACAGTTGCATCGGGCATGACGCTCTGATCAGGCCCTCGGTCATGTGAGTGATCTTGCCCGCGGTCGCGACGCCCTCGGGGCTACGCCCCTTGGGCGTCGCGACCTCGGGCAAGATCACTCACAGACCTCGGGCCTGATCAGAGCGTCATGCCCTCGCAACTGTGTAGGATTATGTATCTGCCACATAATCATTACATGGTCCGGTGTGAACCTGGTCCCGTAGATTTACGTGTGTGTACAAGGTGTGCCGACCTCGTGTGCGTATCCTTCATGGCCGGTGCATGCATGCAAACGGTACAGCGTACACAAATGAGTTGTTTGCGGCCGCGAAGATATTTTTGCAAGCAAGCTGAATGAGGGACTTGTCTTCTTCTTTCTTCGCCTATTTTGACATGGAAGACGTGTGTTGAAACGAGATAAGTCATTTCACCACCAACTCGGTGGTGTGTTCTGATAGTGTTATAAAGATTCTAGCTACGGTGCTCACGGCAAAGAGCTTATGACTCCCCCAAAGGTCTATATTTTAGAAGAAAGTAGACGGAATTATTTTCAGACAAGTGAACTTTCGCTTTCGGGAGCCCAGGATTGAATATTGTGTATGGACGGCCAGGGCGACGGATGTTCTCGGAAAGTAAGTAGCCAAAATCTGTATTCAGCTGTCTCGAATGATCAATATCTTCAGATCCCTTTGCTTGGACAACATGGTTTGTGTGCACTGCTTTGGGACAAGCGCCAATACGAATGTTGCGAATGCCGTCCTACTTCGAAATGCCAGAAGTTTGATTTTTCCCCTGTTCGTATTGCGTGGGAGCATAGCAGCTTGAGGTGCTGTTCTGGAAGCTTGGATTTGAACTCCGTAGGAAACGCAGTGAACACAGTTGCAAGGTTTCACGGAGCATCTTCTCGTCGATTTGAGCTGCACGAGAGAAAATTTCATATTATCAAATGCTATTTCGCCAATTCAAGTATGCACGTTGACATTCATGACTGGTTTGTGGTACACATAGTATTGCCGGGCTTTGGCACCCGGTCAGCGAGTTTATCGTCCGCTGTACATGCAGACAGCTTAGTGGATTTCGTACATGCAGACAGCTTAGTGGATTTCGTGTGCTACACAGTCAGACAGGCTTTGGCCACAATGCAGTGACAACAGTTGACTGCAAGTTTGAACTGCCACATGGAGTTCAGCTTCAGACGATTCCTCTGGGATCATTACTTAGCATAACAATGAGTATGTAATGGACGACTGCTTATACATGTAGATCTACAGCATGATCGTACGTGATTAGTTTCTTCCTTTGAAGTAAAGATCATGCACTTGATATCCATTCAGCCTTCCCAATAACTACCCATGATATTGGTGCAAGGTTTTGCCCACTCATCTAACGCATGCAGATCACAAATTAACACAATCTGAATAGTGCAGGATGGAAGTGGTATGACGTCATGAAAGAGGAAAGAGAGGGTTCAGTAAACTGCACTATACGAGACGCACGACTGCAAGAGTGGTAATGTTTGGAATTGTTCCCACTGCGGACGAAGATATGTTCTCAAAGTAAAAACCAAGCGACAGCCAACCAAACTGTATTGGTCTGGATGTCTGCGTCACATCCGAGTTGTTTAGCCTCATAAGCCACCTTCACACACTTCACACAGCCTGCTGACACGTGACGGTAGGTACATGGACGCGGGGAGTGGAGTACGCTACAAGAGCAAGCTGCATGTGCTATCAAAGCAACGTGTTCAAGTCCCAAACTTGACTGCCTTGCAGGGCATCTGCAGATCTACTCTTCTCGCCACTGGCATGTGTCCTGATCGCGTAGAAGTCATCATTCAGTCTGCTCCGTCATAGTCCCGTATTTTCTCCATTATAAGCACACCCCTTGTTTTTCAACCTCCTTCCGCACTACCCAAGTTCTTTGAAGCACATGCGTGTCTAATTTCGTGTCTCGTCACATTCCCTGCCATTTTGAGTAATATTTTGTACCTGTCCAGTACAATATCGTGCTGGTGAGCCCTTTTCGGCAAAGACAGATGACTCTTTACTAAGGACTATACGTATAGTGGAGAAGATGTACAAGTAGTACTAAGGTATCTCGTTCAGACCCAACGAGACCACACGACATTTGCAAACACCGGCAACACTCCGCGGCAGCAGATTACTCCTGGCGAGGCGTGTTTCGCTCCATAAGCAATCTGAGCTCTAAAACAGAGAAGTAAAAACACGTTCTTCATCCTCTTCTTCTTGTTGGCAATGTGAGCTCATCCAATAAGGAGAAGCAAGATATGGTATCAACAGGATAACTGGAACGGAAGTTATTTAATTTGGATGGTTGTGCGCGGCACTTGATGCCTATGGGGGCCAGGTGTGCGGCGCACAAAGTTACCATTGTGGCCGACATCCACACGCGACATTCTTGAGTGAGAGAGAGTGTGTGTGTGTGTGTGTGTGTGTGTGTGTGTGTGTGTGTGTGAGAGAGAGAGAGAGACAGACAGACAGACAGACAGACAGAGAGAGAGGGAGGGAGGGAGAGAGAGAGAGAGAGAGAGAGAGAGAGAGAGAGAGAGAGAGAGAGAGAGACTAAGTGTCTCTCTGGCAACCGCGGTGCACGGTACTGTCGAGTGCTGAAGACTGAACAGGCCTCACGAAGCATTGCATATTATATACACATCAGAGAGGTTCCGCGCAACGTAATTACGTTAGTAAAAAACGGAGTCGATCTACGGAAAGTCTTCCGTAAACTGCATGCGGATCTGTGTTCCGCCATACAGAGTTTTCCAATCACGTAGCTGCCCTTGGCAACTCCAAACGCGGCAGTGTACGACCGAATCGACCTGGGGAGAGAGTCATACATTTGTACCCCAGTCCACTTACAGACCACCTACGTTATCAGAGCCCTATCTACGTACTCTTCGTAGACAACTTTCCGTAAGTGGAGTGCAAACTCGCGAATCCACAGGTTTTTCCCGCCCCCTTACGTAAAGTTGCTCAACTTTGCGTAGTGCGGAACCTGTCTATTGACTCAACTGTGCGTAGACTATAATACATGAAAATAAGAACGGCGTAGGCTACGAGGCTGACCCCGCAGTTCTTCGGCGCCCGACTGTACTGTCCCCTCTTACAACTAACTTGAACCAACCCATCATTGCTTGTTGTGTGCTAGAAGCGTTCCTCTTTGTTCTTTTTTTTGGCTTGCAGCAATGCTGATCAGTGACTATCAGTATGCACGTTTGTGTTATGTGTATGCTCTGTTTGTACGTGCTGCAGGCTTTGCCGTGGCTGTGCTGACTGTAGTTCTGGTGGCTTGCATATTAGCATGTGCCAGAAAAAAGACGTAAGTTGGCGACCACTGGCTAGGTGTCAAGTTGTTGAATGTTGTAGTGTATGTGCTGATGATACGCTCATGGACATTTTTTACGTCATCATTATCGTATCTCTTAATTTGCTGGCCCAAAATTATAGGATTTGAAAATGTGTGCCTTTTATGCCGTTGTTATTGGTCATCACGACCAATAATAACGGCATAATGATTTTCATGGAAGTTGTAAATATGTTTGAGGCATGAATGTTTACATTTTAGATTCATAGGGCGATAATATTTCTGATGAATACCCATTTTCAGCAATAATTGGAAATTTGAGCATAATTGTTCAGCTGCTGTCATGGAAAGGACTGAAGCAGTGAATGTGCAGAATAACATTGCAGGTGTGGCACGGGGTGGTTTCATGACGACATATTGCACATGCCGTCATGGAACTACCAGTTTTAAGGATAAAACAAGGTCCAATAAAATCTCAAATCCTTTATATAGGATTCGAAAAGTAGGGCACAGGCCTTAGTAATATTGGGCAAGGAGATGAGCCTGAGATGTTAGTGTTTGAAAAAATTATCTTAGTCAACTCTCGATATCTACTAAGACCTAGCGAGGAAGAATTGGTCACATACCTTTTGCTATTCTCATGCCACACCCATTTTGAGTTGAAAAATATGACCAAAATCCTATATATAGGATTTAGCAAATTAAGAGATAGACGTCACACCATGCGCAGATCATTTTAATATGTCTGCCTTTTTGTATTGACACACGTGTCTCCTTGTTCTTGTTCCGTTGGCATTATTTACTTGCAATTGTAGTTGGTCTTCTTCTAGTCTCCATGTAATCGATCATAGAATAAACCGAACCCCGTCTCTAGCTGAGACACTACAAATGTCTCACTATACTCCTTGTCAGCTTTGTGCCATCTTGTCGCACTCGCTGACTGTACAGTCAGACCTCGTTTATCCGGTCCTCTTTTATCCGGATCCCTTGCCATCCGGAAGAAAATCGTTTTTACCGATTACAGCATATGCCATGCATACATACAGTATGTGTGTTCGATTATCCGGTTCCCTCGCCTATCCGGATATTTTTGTGGAAAACGGATGTGTGCGGTTATGCGAGGTCTGACTGTATATGATCTGGTTACGTTGGTGGACAGTTAATCATAACTCGTAACAGTTTGTCCTCTTTTTCTTTTTTTTGCAACCGGCTGCGTATACCAGTGTGACTTAGTTCGGTGCCAGCATGGAAGTGTAATTCTGTTTATGTGTGTGTGTGGGGGGGGGGGGGGGGAGAGGGGGTATTGTCATTTGCTTGTTTTACTGGCTGCTGGATTTGTCTTCTTTGTTGCTTTTAGCATCCCATCTGTGTCTTCTTCTGTTATGTGTCTGTGTGCGCTGTTTGTTGGCAATGTCTCTCACCCTTCATACTATGGCTACTATAGCAAGGTAAGGAACAAATGAGGGCATACCTGCGAGTGTGATGTGTTTGCGTGCGTACGTGAGTGTGTCTGTGTGCATGTGCGTGTGTGCATCAACTGCATCGTTGAAGAACTGAAAAATGTGCACGTGCATGTCATGTAGATTAAGGCCAATTCATACTTCATTTCGCGTACAGGAAAGTCATCGCGCGACTGACGCGCGATGGCTTTCCCGTACGTGAAATAGTTGAGCTCAGATCAACTTTTTCGCGACACGTTTCCCATAAGCGAAATGAAGTATGAGCTGGCCTTAATGAGGATGGCGCAGCACTTGCTACGGCTGTATAGTCTACGTGCAACTAGTCGTGGCTAACTCTAACTCTTCGCCTCGACTCAATGATTGGCAGTCGTTTGACGTGCCAGGAGAAGTAGTCTAAATGAACGAATAGAATCACACACTCATGGCAAGCCGTGCACTTTAGTAATCGGGACAGTATGCACCTGATGAGAAAGTAAGCAGCAAAAGAAATAAAGAATGTTCCGAAGGTACCTCTTATTGCTGTGTTGGGAAATGTATATGGTCGGCCGCAGAGCGCAACGGTGGTGGTGAAGTCAACACAGTATGCACCTGCGCATATGTAAATGGTATCCAAAGTCTCCCTCCAAGACTGCGCGCGGGACTGAGCTAGAGTAGACTGTATTTGCTGTGTACGCTTTGCTGCTCCCTCGAGGAGTGCGACGGGGGCGGACCAAGCACCGACAGTGTTGCCGTCAGAGCTTGTCCGATGTCCTCACTGTGCCACCGTTCAATCATCAGCATGAAGGTACTGCAGTCTATGGCTGTATGGGGTCTACTGCGACAGAATTTCGAACCACATGACGTAACCGTACACCATGCCTGCAGCCCATGCATCTGGTGCATGATAGCGACAGGACTGTACGCAAACCTGCTCTGGGTACAAGCAAGACCAAAGAAGCTCCCAAGCTTGCAAGAGTGTGCAACTCTGGATGCCCTTGCTATGGCAAAAGCTCACTTTATGCCGGGCAATGTTTGAGTTGTACATTCCAAGCCTGTTTTAGAGAGTAGTGGAGTACTGTAAGTTTACAGATTTCCGGCCCATTCAAATTTCGGCGTCCCAGGGCTAAAACCCACTTAGGCCCATTCAAATTTCGGTCTCCCAGGGCTAAAACCCACTTTGGCCCATTCAAATTTCGGCCTCTCAGGGCTAAAACCCACTTCGGCCCATTCAAACTTCGGCCTCCCAGGGCTAAAACCCACTTCGGCCCATTCAAATTTCGGCCAATCAGGGCTAAAACCCATTTCGGCTACATCAAATTTTCGGCCTGTACTGCTGCCGCCCGTATACACTATCGCACTGACCTTGCAAAACAAAATTTCGGCCGCAACACATTTTCGGCCAAACATGACCAGGCCGAAAATAGCCGAAAATAAATACGCGCCGAATATTTGTTGACTTACAGTAGTACAAATAGCACTCCACAGAAATCCACTAGTCAGCTTATGCAAGTCACCAGCATGACCATGGCAGATATCCTGACTGCGCGGACTGATAGGGCAGGCAAACAGCAGTGTACACGTGCTGGTGGTCGAAAACGTTGGCCCGGCGATGACCTGACCAAGCGGCCCGGTTCCGGTGGGCCTGCATTGCAGTTGTGATACACACACGGCCAGAACTCTGTTTGTTGTGATACACACCGGGCCAGAACTCTGTTTGTTGTGATGCATGCTTCATGTGCACTTGTGTGTGGTGTCTCTCTTTGCCGTGCCTGTGCAGAAATGTGATCTGGATACGGAGACGCCGCTTCCCACAGTGAATGTGGGAGTACAGCCAGTACTGCCGCAGTCGGGGGAGACCACATCGAATGTGGATCAGAACCTTTATGACGACGGTGAGTCTCCGGAGTGCTGTGCGCTGCTGCTGTTGACCCTTCTTTTCGGTCTCCAGAGTGCTGTGCGCTGCTGCTGTTGACCCTTCTTTTCAGTCTCCAGAGTGCTGTGCGCCGCTGCTGTTCGCCCTTCTTTTCAGTCTCCAGAATTCTGTGTGTGTTGTTGTCTAATCGTGTTCGCCTGTGATGTGTGTGTCGCTCGTTGCCGTCCCTTCTTTTCCATCTCCGGTGTGTGGTGTGCTGCTGTTGCCCCATCTTGTTCGTCTTTGGTGTGCTGTGCGTTGCTGCTGTCCCATCTTGTTCGTCTTTGGTGTGCTGTGCGTTGCTGCTGTCCCATCTTGTTCGTCTTTGGTGTGCTGTGCGTTGCTGCTGTCCCATCTTGTTCGTCTTTGGTGTGCTGTGCGTTGCTGCTGTCCCATCTTGTTCGTCTTTGGTGTGCTGTGCGTTGCTGCTGTCCCATCTTGTTCGTCTTTGGTGTGCTGTGCGTTGCTGCTGTCCCATCTTGTTCGTCTTTGGTGTGCTGTGCGTTGCTGCTGTCCCATCTTGTTCGTCTTTGGTGTGCTGTGCGTTGCTGCTGTCCCATCTTGTTCGTCTTTGGTGTGCTGTGCGTTGCTGCTGTCCCATCTTGTTCGTCTTTGGTGTGCTGTGCGTTGCTGCTGTCCCATCTTGTTCGTCTTTGGTGTGCTGTGCGTTGCTGCTGTCCCATCTTGTTCGTCTTTGGTGTGCTGTGCGTTGCTGCTGTCCCATCTGTTCCACAGTAGTGGTAACTGAAATCCGACCCCAGCTCAGTGCACTCACATTGCAAAACCCCAGCAGGCGCTTGTACACAAACACATAGAGACACATAGAAACCGCTAGAATCGGTGTTGCACTCCAGCACGATAATCAGGGGTCGGATTTCAGTTGCCACCGCTGTGCATCGGCTTGAATATTCGATCTGCACGTGTTTATATCTCCCACCAGTTAAAAAACAAACATGGGTAATCCCTTAATGATAGCTTGCATAGACCTCGGTCCTACCGGTAGGACCTACCGGTAGGACCATCATACACAGACATGCTGCATGGCCTCCGTTCTAACATTGACCTAAAACTTGACCCTAAACTGTTGCTAAGGGGCTAATGAAGGAGTCCACAAATTTTAGACGTGATCGCACAAGGCATACTACGAAATTCCATGGTAACAACCCATGGTAACCATGGAAACGGAGTATGGTATTATGCATTCCACGGCCTTGGCAAGCTGATAAAAACATTAGGACCTCACCACAATTGATGTGCCATGGTCAAAATTCACTTTGGACAGAGTTGCTAGCGCACCGACAGGATTATGTGCAGCCATTTTGACAATCGATAAAATTGCGCATACGCAATGCACTGGACATAATCTTGCATTTTGCGCCATTACTTTGCCTGACAAAGACCTCATCTCAACAATTGTTTCAAAAAAATTCTCAACCAAAAGCACTTTTGCAGCTCGATTTCTTGGGTCCTACCGGTAGGACCCGTGGTCCTACCGGTAGGACGGTATGCAAGCTATCATTAATGTTTCGCGGTTTATGCAGGATTACCGTATCGAACTTCGGCTCGTTATTCTGAGCTCTGTAAGGGGTTTTTTCCATTGCTGTGTTACGTCTTCCGCGACGGCTCTGAGTGAGTACCGTGAAACCAAGAGTACATACCCTGCTGTCCCGACAGAATTTCAAGTTGACGTCATTATTTATAACGCAATGCTCCTTGCACCAGTGATTTACAACATCAGCCCTCACCAACGCTGTACAAAGCGTCACTGGCCCGTTTCTCAACGGTCGCGCTAATCGACCAATCAGCGTACAGCTAATGTACCAAAATTCTCAAACTTACCGTAATTCCTTGGTTCATACGGTGTAGTTTCCAAAGATTTTTTATGGACCAACGTCTTCTTTCGATAGATACCAACAGATCGTCCGCTTCGAATTTTTCGATTTGATTGCCGTTTGGCCGAAAATTACCTCCGAAACCGGCCTCCACTCGTTTCACTTCAAGGCTCTCCAGGTGGACGGCATCGCAATTCGGAAGCGGAGAAAGGATAGCCAGTGAAAAAAGAAAAACAACGACGTATTGGTTGTCAAAATCGACCAAGAAATGAATTCAATAGACCTGTTTCCGTGCTGCGCCCTCGCGGCCCGCGCGAGTGCGAAAGGGATTCTTTCTCGACAAAACAAACAACAACTACGCGCAGTACACAGGTACATGCAGGTGCTTTTTGCAGTGCAGTACACTGACATCACTGCACTGGCTGTATATACCTTAGGAATATCCTGTTCTTTTCCAAAGCATGATTGTCGCTAGTGGGAGAACTCAGCCACCTGAAGCTTTCATAAAGGAAGAAGTAGTAGGTGAATGAGTTCGCCAGAAAATGGAACGACAAGAAAATAGATACTATTGCTTTCCGGGGCGCTCATGAGACGACGGCAAGATAGGACTGAAACGATCGACAGTCTGCCTCGACGCAAAAGAAACTCTTCTAGGAGAAGCTCGACGTGCTGTAGAGTTTGCAGTATTCTGCTGGAAGAAGACAAGAGAACTAAACTCAGACTACAGCGTGGAGCTGAAGCACGAGCGAAGCAAAAGCTGAGCGAGTTCGAAGAAATGGGGAAACACAGGAAAATGAGTGGGCGACATGATCTTTACTGACTTTAGCTCGAAGCTCGCGCTAAGACACGCGGTGGGCACGTACGTGCGCCTACGGGTAGCGCGGCCAGCCACCATGTTTTCAAAATGGAGGTCGACGCTTTTGAAATCCGTGTAGACGATGGTGAGGGCTGAACATGTGTACGGATGTCAACACATCACACGTTTTTCTTTGCAATAATTTGTACAGGATCGATCGGCTTCGGTCAACGACAGGTTCCGGATTCGTCTGATAATCCGTGTACAGTGCGCATTGCATCATCAAAATGACGTCAACTTGAAATTCTGTCGGGACAGCACCCATAGTGGAGTTGCACACTCTGGGGGGTTATGTACTCTTGGTGAAACTTGATCAAAGCTAGCATTGCTGTCCTTTAGCTAAGGATCTGCAGGACCGCCGGAAGCAATTGGTCCGGTCGTACCATAGTCCTTCATACAGTTTGTGTATAACATTACGGGGACATGTGCACTCCTCGGCAGTAAACATCTGTTGGGGGCTACAAAGTCGGTCCGGTGTTAACCTGACCAACTGGACCGGTTCCGGCGGGCCTGATCTCTAATTGCCGCAGAGAGACCGTGTATGAGCGTTTGGATTGACACCAGTAATGTCTCAGTTGCTGGATGAGAAAAGAGATTTGTGACAGCTGCTAATTTACTTTGAAATCATGACTAGCTTGAAGTTTGTGAGTGAAAGAAGGACAACCAATGTTGTCTTCCTGTTGTTTGTTTTCTTTGCTCTCTTCAGCGGATCGTGCCAAGGCGGCAAGCCCGCAGTCGATTGACCTCAACAACTACGAGGACCTGGAAGCTGGGAAAGCAGCAGCCCGCGCCGTTGCCTCGAATGGCACCGGCACTGGCATACCGCCACGACGCTCCACGCACAAAGACATGAGTGTTCTGGCCAAGCGATCCAGCCACAATGTAGCCGAGCTGCAGTCCTCGTCCAAACACTCGCTCCATCGTGTTGACTCAGCGCCGCCTGCTCATCAAATGCTGGGAAAGCAGGAGAGCGTGGGCAAGTCCTTTGACCGACCACCGCCTGTGTGCGTCCAGGAGGATGAGGACAACGAGCCGCCGCCTGCTCTGCCGCCGAAAACCGAGGCGGCCGAAATCTTGTACGAGGCCGGCCCGTCCGCCATTGGCAACAGTGCCAGCGGCGCTGGTGCTGGTAGCAACGGTGCGGGAGGTGGCGTGGCCGCTAGCCTGTCTCAGCCAGCCATACGGTCACCTTTACCCAAGTCGCCAGCACAGCTGACGGCCGCCAGCATGGAGAGCGCTCTGCCCTCGCAGCTGAGCCACGCTCCCATCTCCGTCGAAGCAGCTAACTGGATACAGAAGCAGACCAAGATCGAGGAAGACGATGGGCCGCCACCGCCGGTGCCGCAGAAAACCGCCGACGCCGAGCTCATCTACGGTGAGAACATTCCGCTGTCATCACAACGTCCCAGTACCGTTTCCGCCTCCGATCTGCCGCCACCGCCACCAGATGTCCTTGAGGCTACGCCGCAGGTGGGCATGATGGACCAGAGACCCGTTCTGGCCAAACAGCAAATACACGTGAACGACGACGATGAAGAGGAGGCAGCGCCGTCGTTGCCGCCCAAAACAGCTGGCGCCGAGGAACTCTATGACTATGCTACGAATTCCGGCGACCTTGCAAAGCGACCATCATTGGTCGCTGACACCGGCTTGGACTACACAGAAGTGGCCTTTAGCAAGCCCGACGCTAAGTCCGGTGCTTCTCCACAGCAAACAGTGATTGGCGAAACCGGCATGGATTACACCGAGGTGGCCTTCAAGAAGCCCGAAGGTAAGCCTCCGCAGCCGCTGCCGCAAACAGTGATGGCCGGCGCTGGCCTGGAGTACACTGCAGTAGCCTTTAACAAGCCCGAAGCTCCCAAGCTAAGCGCTGGTCCATCGTCGCAAGATACCAGCGTGTATGCTGATGTTGCATTCCAGTAGATGGCGGCATGCATCTGAGCGTAGCCTAGTGTTTCAGTTGCGGCGAAGAGAGGACGACGTGCCGCGGCAGACTAATCACTGCTTTCTGCATTCTGCACCATATGTGTATTGACTTTCTTTGCATGCTGTAAATACTGAAAATTCAATAGTTGTCACTGGAATTCTGCCGTCTTCCTGTTCCTCGTGTTGGTTACAGCAGTTGCTGATCACTTCGCCTGCAGGGCTGCTCGATGAAATACGGTTGCGTGACTGTTTTGTGACTGTTTGGTCATGCAATCTGATTTTGATTAGCATCACTTTAGTAGAAGAAGGTGCGTGTGTGTGTGTGTGTGTGTACATGGTGTGTGACTGTGTGGAGGGCTAACCGAGTTCCGGTAGCTGCTTGGCATGTAGCTGCATGTGGCTCTCTCTCTCTCTCTCCCTCTCCTTGGGTCTGGGAAGCCGCAGTCCAGACCAATCATGCCATAATGGTATCATAAAAGTTTGATTATTTTGGCCGTGTCCCAAGGGTGACTGGATCTGGCAGCTCGGTCCGGAGCGGAAACTTCCCTATAGCAACCTAATTGTTTCATGTTCGACTCGCTGAACCAAATACCGTAAAGTCTTGTATAAAAGTCGCACTTGAATAGAAGTCGCCCTCGAATAGAGGCCGCAATTTTGGGCCCATCAAATCACACATAAGCCTGGTTTTAGTGTTGACATACATTACATAGAAATACCTGTCTCATATAGAAGCCTGCAAAATTTCACCAAGAAAGTCATAGAAGCCACGGCTTTTATACAAGACTTTACGATATTAATTCTCTTCTCTCTGATTGAACTAGCTCTACCTTGTGTCCCGGATTACAGCACGGTGAAACCCGTCAGCCGTCCACATGCGCAGTGCTTACTCAATGTGAAAATTAAACACATCGGTGTTCTGTTTGTTTGCTTGTTTGTGTGCACGAGTGTACCAAGACTAACCTGTTTTAGTGTAGTTCATGCAGGCTATGTACCTGATGTACTCTTCCTGCCTGTTGCATACTAACGGGTTTACATACATGTATTCACTGTACTGGTGCAATGACGTACAAGGTATGAGTATAACCTAACACTGGTTAAAAACCAGTATTACTAGATAAACCCTGTTAATAGTTCACGTTAGATTGACAGCATGAACACAGTGTCCTCCACCTTGTTTCATGCTGTCAATCTATAACAATTACAATGTACAAGCAAGAGTACATAATACAAAACCCATTACATTTTGGTGTTATGTGCTAGGTATATAATAAATGTAGAGCCGAAGGATTTATTGCAATTACATACCAGTATAAAAACCGAGGTCCCCCGAGGTTTTTATAACTGGTATGTAATTGCAATAAATCCTGAAGCTACTACATTTATTAAAAATTATTATACATATGTTGACCTTCACTTTCCCTAAAAAGGAGTATTTTATAAACAGTATTTATTGGCCTTAGTGTTTATTGGCCCAAAAGCCAATAAATACTGTTTATAAAATACCACTAGGCCAATAAATACGGTTTATAAAATACTCCTTTTTAGGGAAAAGTGCAGTGTTGCATGGAAAAGTACAGTGGTATTTATTGAGTCAAGCAAATTTATTTGAATTTGATATTGTTGATGGTGTGGTCACTAATGAGTGTGGGTATTTATCAATGGTCAATATATTTACTAGTAGTACATGTACTCTTGGTACAAGATATGCATGATTTTCTGCATAGGCTTTGAGCGTGTGGCATTTATGTCAAAGACTCATTGACATTGTCAGAGAGATGTAGATCTATACGGTATACCAAGACTCAAGCAAAAGGGGTGACTCTTGCCGGTCTTGGCCGGTGTCCCCTGCCATCTGTTCTGCGAACAAAGATGAAACGTATGAAGGTACATCTGTACCACTGACACTGTACTGGCGCATGTCGGGCGGGTCAGGGGTCAAGACGCCCGCCCGCGCTGCGTGCGCACACACACTTCATCCCGATCCCGCGCACGTGCACAGTGCATGGACGGGCGCGCGCGGGCATATGTCTCATGGATGTTCATGCGCGATATATCGATAATGTTTGCCGGATCGTTGGCATAATGGCCTATCACTAGTATCAGCATCTCAGCATGCACGCCGTCAAAAGATCACGCCGATCGTCGTCGAACTCCGTGTAAATATGGGCATGGCGTCTCCGTTATCAGCTGTTTACTAGTACAGTCGACCTACCCTTATAACGATATTTGCGTCAGACCAAGAAATATTGTTATAAGGGTAATATTGTTATAGGGGTAACTGGTTCATTTCATACACATACGTCATAATACATGGATTTTGTTCATTTTTTTACGCTCTTCATAGCATCAAAACCTGTCGTACATGCACATTATGTACATAGCAAGGTGCCCACTGGTGCCCCCATTGCATTTTGTCATGTCCCAGTGACTTATCAAGTGAAGCTTGCCCTACCTGGATAGTGAACTCTACATAATCCCTGCTAAATATTGTTATAAAATGGAAAATGTCGATTGGTCAGCCCATTTTATATCGTTATAGGGGTAATATCGTTATAGCAATATTGTTATAGAGGTAAGGTGTTGTATACAAAAGTCAATGGAGTGATTTGGTTTGACAGAAAAATATCGTTATAAGGGTAATATCGTTATAGAGGTTATCGTTATAAGGGTAGGTCGACTGTAGCTTGTTGGCGTGTCAGTGCATTGATCATTGTGAGTGCAGTGCAGCTCGTGCATGCAGTGGGCAAGTGCAAGTGGTGTTTTGCTCAGTCCTGCGTTGCATATTTTGAAATAATTTTCCATCGCACGATCGCCAAGGCCTAGGTAGGTCCTTCCAAGCAGGGAGTCGTCAAAAAATAGGATTTGACGACTCCCTGCTTCCAAGTGAAGCCCCAGACTAAGTTACTTACTTACTTGACCAGTCTTGCGTGACAGCATGCTCCTCCCCTGATCATGAAAACGAGAAAATAACTACATACAGTACATGTACATGACTGTACTGGAATATTTTGGAAGACTCTTATTTGCCCATCGATCATCATACTTTTGAGGGTTTCGTCGTCCTCAACTCTCAAGGCTGAGTTTGTGTCATTTTTTCAATCTTCGTTTCACCCTGGTCCTTGCTGTCCGGCCTCTTCTCCGCGTTCAACTATTTTCAAGTGCTTTGCGCAAGCTCACGGACTTCCCTTCGCTGGCTTCAATCAGGCTGAAGTAGGTAACAGTGGTTGCCAGTCGCGCCCGGCTGCGTCGCTTCTCGCTGCGGCTGCTGCTCATGCTGCTCGCGCAGTCAATGCATGCAGTGCTGTGCTGGGCCAAGTGCCGTTGATCTGCCTGGGCTGGCCTGTGCGGAGTGTGACTCCTCAGCTCAGGCTCTATGCTGTGCTGCTGCTAATCCTGCTGCTTCTGCTCTTGTTCTTGCCCTCTGCCTGCAGTTGAGTGAGCGCCTGCTGGTCGTTTTGGACCCTTGCTCGTCGTCGTCTTCTGCGTTCGCGTGGATCACCCCCATTGAGGGCTAGCTATTCTGACGCACGCTCAACCAATATCAGCGAATAGCAACAAGCATGGGTAACTCAGGTAGCAAGAAGAAGAAGGACGGAGCAGCAGAGCAGCCGAAAGAGGCAGCAGAAGGAGAGGCTGCTGCGGCCCCCGCTCCGGAGGGAGCTGCCACTGCCAGCGAGGGTGCTGCCACGTCTGATCCGCCCGCAGCAGCCGAGGCAGCCAGTGATGAGAAAAAGCCTGACGACGAGCCAGCAGCAGCAGCAGCTGAAGAGTCGACGAAAGCAGAAGAAGGCTCTGGAGAAGCTGCAACTAGTGAACCGAAGGAGACCGACGCTGCCCCCGAAGAACCAGTAGCGGAGCCAGAACCAGCAGCAGAAGAAACTCCTGCCCCTGCTAGTGAAGAGCCTGCGCCAGAAGAGCCCGAAACTGCTGCTGCCGAGGAGGCACCAGCAGCCGAGGAGGCACCAGCAGCCGAAGAGGCACCAGCAGCCGAAGAGGCACCAGCAGCCGAGGAGGCACCAGCAGCCGAGGAGGCACCAGCAGCTGAGGATGCCCCGGCAGCAGAAGAAGGAGAAGAGGACGCCACAGGTTAGGTATTTCTTGGCCTAGAGTTTTCGCAAACTGTGGCCTTCGTCGTCGTCGTTGTTGGTCGTATTATTGTTGTTTGATGTGTTGTATTATCTTTCATTTTTTCATTTCCAGTATTCTAGTTTCAAAGATTGTGTAGCGCTTGGCCGCTGCAGTCTAATCCTCTAATGTGACTAATCGTTTGAATGGTCTCTAATGCTGGCTGGCCACAGCTGGCTAATCAAGGTTTTCTCTTCTTTTTATTTGTGTGCGTGTGTGCGTGCGCGCGTGTGTGTCCACGAGATAGCGTTCTGAATGTAACCACTGTACAAGCTGTGACAGTAGCCAGTGGGAAGTATTTTTTACGTTTGATGAGTTATGTCACGCGCAGGTCTATGGTATGGTATTGCTAGTATTCAAGTTTGGATTGTTGGCTGAGCAGTTGCCTTTTCTTTCGTCTATTCCCAATATGGCAATAAGGTTCGCATCGTGACTACAGTCGACCTACCCTTATAACGATATTTGCGTCAGACCAAGAAATATTGTTATAAGGGTAATATTGTTATAGGGGTAACTGGTTCATTTCATACACATACGTCATAATACATGGATTTTGTTCATTTTTTTACGCTCTTCATAGCATCAAAACCTGTCGTACATGCACATTATGTACATAGCAAGGTGCCCACTGGTGCCCCCATTGCATTTTGTCATGTCCCAGTGACTTATCAAGTGAAGCTTGCCCTACCTGGATAGTGAACTCTACATAATCCCTGCTAAATATTGTTATAAAATGGAAAATGTCGATTGGTCAGCCCATTTTATATCGTTATAGGGGTAATATCGTTATAGCAATATTGTTATAGAGGTAAGGTGTTGTATACAAAAGTCAATGGAGTGATTTGGTTTGACAGAAAAATATCGTTATAAGGGTAATATCGTTATAGAGGTTATCGTTATAAGGGTAGGTCGACTGTAGTAGTATCCGTTGCCCTCTTGTTCGTCGTATCTGATCCTTTTCCATGCGGATTTGGAAAGGTTGCAGCGATGGTCGAGGAAAAAGAAATGAAAAACGCGCACAGCGTGACCAGTGCACTAGTGACAGCACTAGAAAAATGACAAGAGCGGACGTGTTTCTGGCGGAGTTGACCTCCGTGCCTGATCGCATTCCGCGCAGCTGCGTGCAGTACGAAATGAATGGGCGCTGGAGTGGAGAAGCTAGACCATAGTTTGCAACAAGGCCTAGTCGATAATGGTCACATGCACAGTATGCCAGCTCCATACCTGCGCAAAATGTCAGAACTCATCAACAGCTAGCTAGCCAGCCTGGCCACCAACCCTATTTCTGAATCTCTAGTAAAAGTATTGACAGCAAAAGAGGGTAAATAGCAAGTCCATTATGTGTCCCTAGCCTAGGACATATTGCCTCTTGCGGAGCTTGGTTTGTTTTGCATTGGTGATGGGCACTACACTGGACTCCCATTTGCCTTTGCCTGAAAATCATGGGGGTTTGGTGCGTGCTGTTGCTGTTGCTGTTGCTGTTGCTTGCGTGACAGTACAGGCCTGGCAGGGCAAAACCAGTTTGTGGCTGAGCATTGGCCATTGTGCATGTAGTAATTGCTGCACACTTCACTTGCCTGCCGTTCTGGGCATGAATGCTTCAAAAGCCAGCAAAGGGCCCAGAGACTGGTGCAGATTTGAACTACTAGAGGGCACTCCAGTTAGGCCCAATCATGCAATGCCCTATGATTCAAACCTGCAGTGTGCACTTGTCAAGTGCTTTTGTGACTTGTTTACCGCCTAAGACCAAGGCCCTACCTGACCCACAGTTCACAGCCGGCTGGAATGATCTTTCCAAATGGAGCGGAACTGTGAACCTGGATAACTGAGAGAGAGTCCACTGATAACACTGATAGCAGACGGGAGGGAGGCTGAGGCAGGCGGTGATTGTGAGGGCATGTATTCTGGGAATGATGGGGTAGTGTGGCATTGACCTGGAGTTGCCAGCACAGAATACTATGACTCGTTTAATTTAATAGCACTTTGCAGGGCCCATTGCCATTGGCAGCACACACAGCAAAGTCATGAGGCAGTAGATGCATGGCTTGACCTGAGCTGGGCTCTATGCCAGTGCTCATAAACTGGTTAGGTCACGCAAGACACAGCCTGACCTGCAATGGTTCTTTTTAGGGGTACACATGTTGCTCAGTGCCAGTGGTGTGCACTTAAAACTGGACCTTGGGTTTCAGTAGCAAGCTGATCACATGATCCAGGTTTTTACAGTACCGTTTCCATGGTTGTAGCCAATGAGAGATCAGGTGGGTTCAGGGTAGTGGCAGGTGGGTGTCTCTAGCTCTCAGTCCACAGGATGTACTGGGAAGTGTGTGAGGTGTAGCTGTATACATGTAGCCTAGGACTGGTACTGACCATGTGATCAATGGCTGACTGTGTGTCTGACTGGGTATGGGTCCTCAGTGCCTGGCTGCACTACTACTACTAGTACTACTCTTTAAGACTCTACTCGTATTGCTGCTGCTGCTGGTGGTTTTGCTATAGCTGCCTATCCAGTGGACGTTAGTGCATTGGTTCATGTAGCACCTTAGCATGTGCCATGCATGTGTGACGCTCCCGGCTGCCGCTGCTGTAGGCATGAACAAGTGCCATGCGTGCTATTGTGTTTTCAAGTGCCCTTTTCCGCCTCACCTCCCTGCAGCCGGGTCAACCACTTAGCACCACCACTGGTGCTGCCATGGCAACGGGTTCATTTCCTTTGTTACCCTGGCAATGTAGGGGCCCCATATGTGCTACTTGTACAGGGTGTGTGTGAATGGTGGTGTGTGTTTCCTTGACCGATTGTGTGGGAATGTGTTTTGCATTAGAAGTACATGTACTGTAGCTGTGGCTGTAGCTGCTATGTACAACGTGATTGGAATGCAATGGTGTGGACATGGGCCAGTGTACGTCAGTGTACATGTGGCTGTATGGTACACCATGTGTGTTTTGCTAGTCAAGCATTTGCACTACTTAGAATTCACAACCTGTTGACATTGCGTCCTCCTAGCTAATGTGTAGACATTGCGCAGAGCCGGGCTGCATCCACTGCTGGTCATCATCATCAGTAATCCTGGGTCACCGCACCTGTGGGGGCCTGTAGGTGTGTGCGAAACTATTGCCTGCGACATCTCATCTGCCCACGGCGCATGTTAAGCTCTGGTTTCTGCCTTGTCCTGGTGTTTGTCGTCTGCTGTAGTTGCTTGTGCTAACTACAGTGAAACCTGTGTAAGACGACCGCTCAGGGGACCTTCAAAATGTGGTCTCTCTTACCAGGTGGTCTCCTTATCCAGGGTCATTTGAATGGACATAGCATACCTTGGTCCTGGCTGCAGTGGTCTTCTAGGACAGGTGGTCGCCGTATACGAGTGGTCGCCATGACAGGTTTTACTGTATATCCATGTCCATGTGTTGGACATAGTGCCAGTCATTGGCATTGGTAGTATTTGGTACCATAGCGTAGTCGTGGATGTACTGCGGACATCTTGGCGTGTTGCGATGTACCCGGGCTGCCGTACTATTGCTGTTGTGAGAGGGCTGCTGCTTGCATGTGTTGGTGCTGCATGTGTGGCTGAGTGTTATCTTCTTTCATGTATCCAACCGTTTTGTCTGTGCTTATCCGTGTATATTCGTGTTATCTGTGTACATTTGTGTTATCTCTGTGTACATTTGTGTTTAAATATCTCTGTGTACATTTGTGTTATCTCTGTGTACATTTGTGTTATCTCGGTGTACCTTTGTGTTATCTCTGTGTACATTCGTGTTATCCGTGCGCATCCGTGTTATCTACCTCCGTCCGTGTTGCCAGTGTGACCTGTATTATAATATGTCCATACCCCACCCATTATAGTTTCTTATCTGGTTTTTGATAACTTTTTATACTTCATGTCCATATTTGTACTTTCATATCTTGTCAGCTCACACATACACGCAGCTGTGAGTGTCGTCTATCTTGTCTGGTGTTACACGTATGACTGTATGCATGTGTGTGTGTGTGTGTGTGTGTGTGTGTGTGTGTGTGTGTGTGTGTGTGTGTGTGTGTGCAGTTATCTGGCGCTTGTCTTGATCTGTTTCAATCAGAATCAGATCCGCTATCGTTGCTATAAAGAGAAAATCTGTGGGTGCACATCCAGTGCATTTGCAGATTTGCGTACTTCTCTTGCGACGGGCGTATACGTGGTACATGGTACATGGTGTGTGTTTGTGTGTGTGTGGTTGTGTGTATGTGTGTGTGTTTTGTATGTGTGTGTATGTGCATGTGTGTATGTGTGCGTGCATCTGCATGCATGTGTGTGTACATGTGTGTGTATGTGTGTGTGGGTGCGCGCGCGCGTGTGTGTGTGTGTATGCACGTGCATGTGTTGCATTACCTCGTGACCGGGCTTTGCATGACATTTGACATTGACTGTGCTGCTGTGTGCTGTGTTGCTGCTGGGTCTACAGATGGTGCTATGCCATCCAAGGAGATTGACCCGCCGGAGGAGGCCAATGAGGACACTGACGTTACTCTGACCTGGACACACGGCGGCGATGAGGTCAAGGTTGCTGGTAGCTGGGATGACTGGGTGCAGCACGACATGGAGAAGGGGTGAGTGAGGAGTACCGTATTTTTCGGAGTATAGTGCGCACCTTTGTATAACGCGCACCCCCAATCTTCATTGGGGGTGCGCACTTCAATCTTCATTGAAGTACATGCATTTCATATTCGGAGCATAGTGCGCACCTGCGATTTAGGGCCTAAAATAGCACATCTAAAGTGCGCACTATACTCCGGAAAATACGGTAGCGATACACTGGCTGCTTTCGTAGTTTACTACATCATAGGATATGCATTGTACTGACTGCGGGTGTGTTTTATTATGACTGGATACAAACTAGATATATTCACTGCTGGTTTCGTGATACGACCTTTGTACTTCTATCATGGATCACTGTCTGCTGACCACCTCAGGTGCTGTCATTGCCCTGTTTTGTTTAACGTTATTTTTAAATGAAGACTATTACCTTTTGCGTCTTTCCCTCAAACCAGTGACTATTATCACCAGCTGGTCTATCCCTGATCCGGGATATTCTTTGTAGGTCGCAGGTATCAGCTGTATCATTGGTTTTTTTTATTCCCGACGATGGGCTTCGCCGATCTCTCACGTACACGTTCACACAATCGTCCCACACCTCAGGACAGAACGCATTTGACTTTACTTCCAGAGGAGAGTTTCAGGAAAGAGCCAAGAAGAAAGACAAGAATGTGTACATTTTTATAGTAAATCGTGCACATGCGTGTCATGGTGCACCCTGCGCAATCCGCGCACGGTCCGCACAGACACAGCTCCAAAAGGGGGACCTCATAGAGGTCATGGACAGCAACTGTATGCCGCTCCCCTAGTCTGCTACTAAGCGCATGGTCTCGAGGTTATTGCAATCCCTACCTCGCTGCTCTCTGCCTTTGTTCAACTTCTATTGGTCTGGTGTGCTGTGCTGTGCTGTGCTGCTGCTGGTGTGTGTGTGTGTGTGTGTGTGTGTGTGTGTGTGTGTTTATGTGTGTGTGTATGTGTGTGTGTGTGTGTGTGTGTGTGTGTGCAGTGATGACGCTTTCTCCTACGTAGTCAAGGTGGAGTCCGGCGAGAAGTACACATACAAGTTCGTCGTGGATGGTGACTGGAAAGTCGATGAGGACAAGGTGAGGAGGAGGCACTGCTGCATGTGATGGCAGCAGCAAACATGCAACCATGGCTTTCTGTGCCCACAGCCTACAGCCATACACTATAGGCGTGTAGATCATGTACTGTTATTTCTTCTATTGTTTCTCTGTACATTTATTACATGTACCAGTACATTGATCTACAATCGTCCCTCTCTAATCCAGCACTTTATAAACCAGCACCCTTGATAAACGAGCACAATTTTCAGTAGCCAAAATGTCCTCTGTGGCACAAATGGTGCCGGATTATAGAGGGACCACTGTACTAACGTCCTATGCAAGGGTCTAAGTGCATGCAATGTATCCGATAGGGAATGTTACGCGGTCTTTTATGATAACACCATGCTGTGTAGAGTGGTGCGATCAATTTAGAAACGGGCCGGCTAGAATTAATTGAAGGAGGGCTCAGCGTCACACTATAATATGTTGCTTTGATTTCATGCTGCTGCTGTTGAACATGTTAAAAAGGAGGACATACCAAGAAACCATGCCGGCTGTTGGGCACTTTACTGGTCATGGCGTATTACATCTGCGGCTGTGCTGTCGTGTTTGACAACTTGGAAAAAGGGTTGCTGACAAGTTGTGCTGGGACTGTGCGCAGGCAATAACACAATTCTGAGTTAAGTTGTCGAACGCTGTATGCTGTGCAACGGTTAAACATGTCCACGTGTGCCCGAAGCACGCCAGACTCAGCCTCATTCGCTCCTGCACTGGGATGTGGCGTTACCCAGGGCCAGTACCGCTAGCACTGACTGCACTTGGAGGTCTAGAGGCATGTGACTGACAGGACATAGCGGAGTGTTTAGAGTAGTGCTGCTGTCGAGAGTCAATTTTCTCTTTTTGGAAACCTACCAAAGTTGTTAGCACAACCGGTACTTGCCTCGGGGAAGATATTCTTGGCACGGCTTCACACCGTTGGTGACATTATCTACGCGTGAGGCATTTAGATGCCGGCACTTTGGCAGTTTATTGCTTATGGTGGTGTTGAGTGTAAGCTAGGCAGCGCAGCTTATTTCTAAACATCCGAAGATGTTCAATGGTTTTGCTTTTGTTCTCGCCCTTCAGGCAGGATGCACGGTGTGGGATCAGATGGTTGATGGCATGTGTGTGTGTGTGTGTGTGTGTGTGTGTGTGTGTGTGTGTGTGTGTGTGTGTGTGTGTGCGTTTGTGTGACCATGTCAATGTCTGCGGTCATAGTTCACCCTTTGCTATGGTGTTATTGTCGGCGGTTTGTTTGCACTATCTCCTGCAGCCGTCGGGTGAGGAAAATGGCCAGACCAACAACATTCTCACTGTGGAATGAGAGAGCTGCACATTGTCTTAGGAATCAGCAAGGTAAGAAGTGATACGGGTCTGGAATGTGCTGTGGCCGGATCAAGCAGCATAACCCTGTGTGCGTGCGTGTGTATGTGTGCGTGGGCGCGTGTGGATTAGACTTTCTTACATGACACGTGACCATATCCTAGGAATTGTCTAATCACCACCTTTCCCGCCGCGGGCATGATTCAGCCATCATGCCCGCTGCCCTTGGCAACACTGACGTCACTTCAGGTATGATTGACAATCATGCCCGTGGTCAAGTGGCAACGAGATGTAGCCAATAATGTGACAAGGCGCGGATTTTGAAGAAAGAAGTGGAAGTGCATGTGGAAAGGAATGTCGCTTGTCTTCTTGACTCTTGTTACTTCGTGTGTTCTGGCTGTGACTAGTGCAGAGTGACTTTTCGCCGAACTGTGCACTGCTAGTCTTTGGCTTGTTTCAATGTTTGAGTAGGCTACGTTCCGTGCGTGCGCATGGGTCAAGTAAGAAATCCAATCATACACGGTCTGTCGGGCTTGCTGGCTGAATCATGCCCTCGCTCCCAGCCCTCGGGCTGGGAGCTCAGGCATGATTCAGCCATCAAGCCCTCCAGACCGTGTATGAGTATATACGTCATCTGGCGCTAGTCTTGATCTGCCTGAGAGCCCTCATTCAGATCTTGTTCGCTATCGTTGCTATGAGAGAAAATCTGTGGACGCACATCCAGTGCATTCGCAGATTTTTGGGTGCTTCTCTTACGACGGGCGTCTACATGGTACATGATGATTGTGTGCGTGTGTGTGTGCATGTGTGTATGTGTGTTTGTGCATGCGTGTGTGTGTGTGCGCGCGCGTGCATGTGTGTGCTCACATGTGTATATGCACTCGCTTGTGCACTGCGCATGCTGGTCTGTCTGCAGTGCATTGAATGAGGAGTTCTCCACTGCTCGCCGATGCTGCAGCACCAGCTCCATGGTCACACGCTGGGCATCACTTCCCTTCGGAAGGGCGGTAGCGGCGGCGGTGGTGGTGGTGGTGGTCCCGTTCCTCGTACCCTATTAGCGTTGACAGCCGATGGAGAAATTAGATTTCCTCATTACTTAGCAACGATTTTCCCTTGCCACTGAGTACATTGCATAGTAAACCATTGGCCTGTCGGGTAAGAATGGCGCTATCCCTGCGTCAAAAAATCCCAAATCACTATAAAAATAATTTGCTTCAGGAATCATGAATCTGGATTTCAAGACGGCCTCGCTCTTCTCTCATTTCATTTTCATCTTTGATCAGTTTCTTTTCGGGCAGTCCTTCATTTCCCCGTTGCTTCCCTATAATTCCGTACTTCATTCCGAACTGCGTGAAATCGATGCAGGAAAGCCCCAGGTATTTGTTTTGTCTGGAAATGATAGATTAGCAGTAGCGATCGTATTGAATATTTTTGATAATGATTGTACATGCGTAATCCCTACATGCACATGCATGTATGCATGATGGCCTTTCTTGAACTGCTCTCAACTGCTGCTGCCGTGTCCAATGTCCCCCGGTTGGATCAGGAGAGGCCTTTCTTGAACTGCTCTCAACTGCTGCTGCCGTGTCCAATGTCCCCCGGTTGGATCAGGAGAGGGCCGAACCCCATCCAATTCGTTGCAGATGTTTGGTGGCCCCTGGTGAAATCCAAAGCCCTGGATCTCAGCTTGACAAGCTTCCAGGGATTGGATTTCTGCTGACACCGATGCATACACCACTACACTGGTGGCAGGTTCAATCCAACCCTGGATCTCAGTTTGACAAGCTTCCAAGGGTTGGATTTCAGCTGGCACCAGTGTGTATGCATTGGTGCCATGTGAACTCCAATCACTCCTGGATCTCAACGCTACGAGGCCCCCACTACATTACCACACTAGTTTTGAGTCTACATAGCTGCCTAGGCTACATAGAGGTGCCCAAGGTTTTCAACTACACACACACTACTACTGACGTCGTTATTATACTTACACCAGTCGCTAACCATACATATTGAAATTGACGTTGACTGCGTGCAATACGCTGTTGCAAGGCAGCAAAATATAAAATTTAAAAACAACGTCCGATAATGAGTGTCCAGAATTGGAAAATGCTGTGACGGAACAGACTCCGAGAATGATTGTGGCCGGTGGTGACAGAAACGGTGTGAATGTTTGGAGCGAAAGGTCCCAAAAAATGAAAGTAGTGTACTTGTGCGCACGTGGATACGTGTTTGCGAAGTGGGCCGAATAAAATATGCACACAAACGTAGCGGCTGAATAATCAACTCAATCTAGAATATAGGTCAGTAGAAACATATAAAACACATAAAAAAAACAGAGCTATGGGTGGGAAACAACAACACAAGCCACGTAGAAATATCTACTACGCTACAATCAAGGTGCCCGGCAGCACATTTAGGGCACGGACAGGACACAAGGATACAAGACTACTACACAATCACCATGTGACCAGCACACTCGGCTTAAATATTTCCCCTAAAAATACAATATAAATTACCATTTTCTTACAGTTTAAAAAAGGTGTGTCCATTTTAACGTCAGCTATGTGGATTCTTTGGCAGGTATGCTCTAAACTAGAATA